CTGTCTTCATCTTCTTTTCTTTCTTAGTGAATATCGTTCCATTCTCTCGTCTCATGTTATTTGCGGCTTTTTTTTTTCTCTCTTTCGTTGTTTTGCGTTCTTTTTTTTATCGAGGATTTCTTTTCAATTTGTGGCTTTTATTGTACTAATTCGTTTTGTCCTCCTTTTTGCGGCCGTTTTTTGTGTCGTGGCTTGCGTTTTTCGCGGCGGTTACGCCGTTACGCAGCGTGTGAGGGAAAGATCTCCCGACTTTCCTAGCGGCACCTCACTCGTCTCGAAAGGTTCCGCGTCTTTTCCTCTTTTCACCGGTGTTGTCCTTTCGTTTGTTGACCAGCTAGTTTCTGGAGTCTACGTCATTTGTTGCTTCATATAGAGCAGGAATGGCCAGGCTGACCCGGCCTAAGAGCCGCATACGGAACCACGATACTTCTAAGAGCCGCGGGGGGGGGGGGGGGGGGGGGGGGGGGGGTCGAATTAAAATTTTGTTTAGCGTCTGACTGTACGTATGAGTGCACAAGGCTGTACAAATGTACGTATGGAGGCACAAGGCTGCCAAACCGCGAGCCGTACTTTCTTCTGCCTGAAATCCCTTCTTTTTTTCCTGGGGAAACGCAGAAAGGGGCGGGAAAGGGGGGGGGGGGGGGGGGGGGGGCTGATATAGAGTATAAGAATGACCACAAGCGCAGCTTTGCGAGGTGTAGATTTTACGCGCACGAGATTTTGTCTCGCATTTCGGATAATTATCGTATCGCTACGGTTGTAGTGCAGTGATGTGATGGCTGCGCCAAAGCGCTTTCCCTCCTGCATTTGGCCAAAATGTGAGGAATTTACGTCAACATTGTGCCAAATCTGGTTTTCACTTTGTTCATAGGGAGTTTTAGAATAACGTACGCAATTTTAAGCGCACGCTACGCAAAAGTTTTAGAATAGCGTTTCTCCGCAGCGACGAGAAAAGTCCAAGCATCTCGCGCTTGCAACGCTACCAAGGTACAGTCACAATTTTTATTTCGCACACGAAATGCTGTAACCCGAGAAGCAAGAAACGTGTTTTGTGGTCCAGAGTAGCACTTTAGGTTTGGTTAAACATGAGAATGGGACGCAACCGTTCGTATCTGCCTGCGTCGCCTCGGCTAGAGAGGTCTCGTGTACTGGGGCGGCGGAGAAAAGCTCACCGGAGAAAAGCTCACCGCAAAACCGGCAGATGCGGAGAAAAGCTCACCGATTTTTTTTTAACTATGTCCTCTTTCTTGTAATATTCTTGAAGGTCATTGGGCATATTTGCTAATTCCTCGGAAATTAGTAATCACCCATTGTGTATATTAATGAAGCCGCAAAAATGATATCAGAACATTGTACACCGGTAAAACAGACAACAATTTACTGACAACTGAGGGTGCGCCGTCGGTAGCTCTGTCAAATAAAGGGGTTTGTTCTTTGTGAGCTAATATGAATAGCGGTGTGTGAACCATTTCAGCTCCAAACATTCTGTAGTGCCTAATAGTTAAGTAGGTATTTGTTCATGCAGTCGGTGTCGGCTACGTTGTTTTCTTTCTGTTAATTTCACTAAGAAAACTTTAGTCGCGAGAACAGCTTCGTCCTGTCGTGTTTTTTGTCTTCACTCGGGCGTCGTCGTTTGAGCGGTTTTCATCATGTATAACGTTCACCAACTCGCCCTATTCGCTACTTTACAGAAGACTATTTCTTATATAGGTCACGAGTAACGACGGTGCCAGTGTGCAGGTCTGAAAGTCATGAGTGGCTCACCTTCGAAGGGCACTATCACACAAAGGCAACGTGCGGAAACACCAGCACGAACGGCTAGAAAACGTTCATGTCCGTGGAAAAAATAAGCCTCGATATCCTACTAACTGTTTTATCCTGTTTTCAAAGGTTAATAAAAACTTCAAAGAGAATTTCAGGCATCGCGTTGTTGCGCATGCACTTTCGGATTTTCGGTGTTTACAGTTTTGATTTTTAGGTTTTAGGGAGACCTAAGTTTTCGAACTCTTTCATGTCACTCAAGTTCATAAAATTTTCAGTTAGGCTTTAGTTGCCTAGGGAGTAAGCCGAAGAAAACACTGGCCCGCCATTATTAATTTGGGAGCAATATACTTAATAAGCTTGGCAAATAATACAAAAAAGGTCATTTTCTTTTTGACAAACCTGACGCACTTTAGTGATAATAAATTGATATATGTTACGCATGATCCAACAGCCTCCATAAAAAATAAGAAAAAAAAATTGGTGAGCTTTTCTCCGCATCCGCCGGTTTTGCGGTGAGCTTTTCTCCGGTGAGCTTATCTCCGGTGAGCTTTTCTCCGGTGAACTTTTCCCCGGTGAGCTTTGCTCCGGGATTCCGTGTACTGACCCTCGCACACGGCGCCTTCGCCGAGAAATGTTCGCGCGTCGCATGCATCAAGTTGCCGGTGATCGTTGCCCACCGGACTGGAGTTTTCCAAACCGAGTGCAGTATCGTCCCGTATTGAAAATCGCAGTCGCGAGGATGTCGCCGACGTTGCGCTCACGACGCCGCCAAAGCGGCCGCAGACATGGTCCTGGGAGCCGCCATTTTTTAACTCTGCTCGTCTTGGCTTTAGCCAACTTCTCATCACGAATCCTTCTTGTAGGAGAGTAAAGACTGCGTACACACGTATTTCCGAAAAAAAAAAAGCGCACACGCAAAGCGGAAAACGTGGTTAGCGTTAGGCGCATGCGTAGTGGCCACGACGCTATTTTTTTGCGTACGCAAAGCTTTACCGTGCGCTATTCTAAAACTGCCGAAATGGGGAGTTTTCGTAGATCGTTTTCACCGTCCCGCAACGCTTTCCGCAACCCGCTACGATAGCCGGAATCTAGAGTCAAGGCCATCGGCGCGCCGGCGCAGCAGCGGCTTCGTTGCTGAGGTCTCTATCACAGGGGGCAACGCGGTCTACGAGAACTCCCCTATACTGAAAATTATTTCTCTTATCACAAAGCCCAGCCTATAAAATGTCATTGATGTTCACAATCAAATGGCAAAAGCTTTGTTTCTCTCTGAACCAAGAACTGCAGATTTATTACAGCATCTACAACTTCAAGAAAACATCAGTTTGGGTGCTCGAAATTATTATGTTCTAACATTATTGCAGTGGAATATACTGCTTGGTTTGCGTTTGGTTTTGTACCTAAATTAACCATGCAGAGCAGTTCGTACTGCCCTTCATTAATGATCATCTCGTTGCCGTGTCTTATGCTTATACGTACAGTCAAACTGCTAGCTGGGCAATCAAACCTGTCACGCTATTGATAAAGTTGAAGCCTGGGCGAGTTGGTATGACATACTTAATAGGTTAAAACAGCGCAAAAAACGATGGACAGGGTAAAGAAGGACACGGACAGCGCTCTGTCCGTGTCCTTTTTTACCCTGTCCGTCGTTTTTTGCGCTGTTTTAACCTTTTAAGTACGCTATTGATGTCATCATAAGGTTGCACAAAATCAGGAAGGCAAAGTGGAAATTACGTAACTCGCACTGGGACTCTAATCTGGACACTTGACGATAAAGTTGGCGAGGAATACGACCGCCGTGATTGGCCGGCGTCGAATTCAAACGCGGCTCCAGCCAATCACAGCCGCCGGATTCCTCGCAGACTTTTTCGCCTAGTGTCCGGATTAGAGTCCTTGTACTTTTTGCTGTTCCGAAGTGTACTTTTCGCTGCTTCAAAAGGTGCTCCAAAATTACTCGGGCCAATCACATTACTGTGTAATGCTTTTCTTCTTTTATTTTTTTCAGTGTAGAAATAGGTCTCAGCGAATTTTCGCCAGACGAAATAAAGACGAAGAAAATCGAAGTGTTCACGCTCGCACAAAGAAGCCGGCGCTTGGGTTTGAAACCCCGACTCGAAGATCGTAAAATTGAGCAACCAAAAATACTCCCGCCCCATCCCCCCCCCCCCCCTTTTTTTTTTTTTTTTTTTTTTTTTTTTTTTTTTACGGTTTGTTTATGAAGCGTTGACCCTCCCCGAATTTCTCGAGCGGCGGGGCCCCCATTACTCGTTCGCCTCGTGCTCACCGGGTTTTGAGTTCTGGTGTCGTGCTTGGTCTTCTGCTTCGTCGCACGGCTGACTGTCTCTCTTTCTCTCCCTCTCACTACACAAACACACACACAAAAAAAAAATAAAAGGCACGACTGTCTGTCTGTACCCAGCACGTCTGTGTATAATAACCTAGTACGCGCGAAAAAAAGTGGTGAAGCTGCCGCCGAAACAGGCGTTTGTGTATTTTCCTAAGCGCCCAACAGCGCGGGAGCAGTGCGAGGGACGACGCTATCTCTGTCAGGGAATCGCGCTCGCCGCCTCGTCCCGAGATTTGTTCGCGACGTGTTTTCATTCGTTCGCGCCTTTGATTCCCTCGCTGGATTTGCACGCTCGCGGCAAGACGGTGCTTTTGACATGCGCGAGACGGGACGGATTATGCGCCTAATCCACGCTCTTTGGAGAATTTAGTTTCTCCCGTTTGTTTTCTTCATTTCGGAATTAATCCCCCCCCTTGGATGCGGCATTTTGTTTCTGCTTGGTGTCTTAGAGTTCCAGTCGTCATTTTTTTTCGGCGGAAGTACACAGAGCATTTGTCGTGCTCTACAAGCCCGGCTGTAGATTGTAGGTTGAAAAATTGCTCTGTCTATACATATATATTCTAGTTTAATCGTAATTATTTACTATCATGGTGCCTAACACTTGCCTAATTGTTTTAGTGCTCTCAATTTTGGAGCACCTGTTCAGTGGTTCGTTGTAGTTTATTCAATTTGATTCAGACGAGATTGATATATCTACGTCAACCAGTGCGTGAACCGTGGGTGCGAATGCGGCATCACATGGCATCCCAGGTTCTAAAGTGGCGTGGGTGAGAGGTGTGTGTTTTCAGAGATGGCAACTTTGGGATCAGTGCACTTTTGCTTGTAGTGATAGCAGTGTCTGCCAACCCTTGTGGCTCATGTATGTCTCTTTTCTCTCTCGTTTCTGCAGCCCTACGGGTCAGAAGGGTTTGACCAGGACTCCCCAAGGTACTCTTCGCCCAAGCCACCGGGCCTTTATGGGGAGTCTTATTATATCGGTGAGTTACCTTTAGCCATGCTTTTGGCAGCCCGAGGTTAATGTTGCCAGACGGAGCCAAAGTTTCGGTTTCAATTTCTGCTCATGTTTGAAGTAAGAGTTAACAATATATTTCATTTTTTGCGAAGCAAATGATGTAGTGCTTTTTAATCTGAAATCATTTTTATCCCGAAATTTTTGGAATTGAGCGGAGTTGCCCTTTAAGGCCAGGCATCTTCTTTGCTTGTTGGTTGCTTGTCATGCGTGCATTTCTGTGCGAAGAAGACAATGGTGAGCAGAAAGGCGGACGCTTGCAGACGATCCATGCTTCTGTCTCCTCCTCAGAGCTTGCATTGCAAATGCGGCCCATAAACCACGTGACCCCCGACCAACACCTCCCAAATATCAGGGCCCTAGTGCTGAGTTTTCAGCGTTGCCTGAAGAATGCAGGGCACGGATTGGACATGCGGGCTGTGTCAGCATTCCCCAGGCTCGTGTCCTTGCTGTCCAAGCCTGGAGCCAAGCCTCGGCTGAACGCTGACACAGAAAATTCAGCACTACAGTCTCATAATCTAGGGGCTGTTGCCCCAGTCGAGCTCTCGGATCTAGGCACACCGGATGCCATCAGCAGACGTCCGTCATTGTCTGCAAACGGAGCACGGCCGCTGAGCGTGCTGCCGCATCCTTGCAGACGGGGGCCATGGTGGGGGCGACCCTTGGTCCTCGAGCCAGAGCCTGCAGCCTTCTTCGTACTCGTACTTGGGCAACCAGGCCTCTCATCTGCCCTCCACCTCGTCTGCCTTCTCTTCCATGCACCTCCCTCCCGAAGCTATGGTGAGTCGCCGCCTCAGACGTTGCCAAGTTGAGTTACAGGAGAGAGAGAGAGAGATATCGATCCAGCTGGATGATGATGGGAGGCTGGTTCTATCATAATTTCCTGGTACTATTTGCACTTGATACATTGACAAGTTGATGACTATGGGTTGCCCATCACGGGTCAATCTGTTCTAGTTTATAGGGAAATGGGTACATAATGGGTACTTCGGCACCTGCATCTTTATATGACAAATGAAATTAGTGCTGCACTCAGGAGCTTGCCTTACTTACTAAGCAGCCTCAAGACTTCCAAAATCATAGCAATGGCAGACTTTCTTATTTTTGCTCAGAACGTTGTCAAGATGATTTAAAACATCATAGAAATGCATCTCTTGTGGAAAGAGGTCTTTTTACAAGGAATGACTAATGAAGGCAGGACTAACAAGGAGGTTATTATACACTGAAAACAAGGATTTAATGTAAATGAGGTTTATGAACTGCCGTGATTCTTGCTAGAATAGCCTTCTTGTATATTTGCGAGCATTAGTAAGATGGGCATTTATGCGAACATGATTCACATTTGCTTCCATAAAGGGCTGTGGCAAAACATGCCTGCCAACTTCCAGCCTCTTTAAGCATAGTAGTAGTGCCCTAAATGGCCACCTGTTTACTGACCAGACCCAAGAGATTGGGGGTCAGAACAACAAAAACAGTAATGCTTTACTTTCCTCTCGAAGAAATACCACACTTTAAATTTTATACACCAACCCAACTCTCCTACGTCCTGCTACAACAATGACACTTTGGGTGAACTTCTGGTTCAGGGTGAGGGCAAGGAACGTGTTGCCGGCTGGAAGTTATTCTTAAGCAAACAAGATATTAAAAAAGAGAAAAATGACGAGTTCAGTCGAGTGATTACAACAAAGTCCATTTTAAGCCCAAGGAAAGTGTTTTTTGGCAATTAGCGGCAACCCTGAGCGTCTCCCGCTTACTCAGTCTTAACATCGCTCAGTGCTCCCGCTCCTTTCTGTGCCTCTGCTACGCTTTTGCCCTGTTCAGCTCAGCGTCATGCTCGCGCCTGAGCTTCATTGCACGAGTCGGAGGTCGTCCAGCCGACCCTCCCGAAGTCGTATAGCGCCCAGGTCGCCTCAACGCTCCAATGGAAGCGCGGCGACCCCTTCCTAGTCATGGACGTTCCTCCATTGTTCGACATAACGCACGATATGCGATAGTGAGATACAGAAATATATATGTACAAAAAACCTTTAGCAATACACTATTAAAGGGTGATAAAATTTAAAGTAGAGAAATAAAAGCTAGATAACTGGGGTTGTAAGGAAAATCGATAGCAAGAAAACCAAAGTGCTGAAGCGGACGATGCGAGCAGGCGAACAGCGGGATGACGAGGCTTACTGATAGCTGGGGCCGTGAGTACAGGAAACTATTAGTAGAGCAAGGTCTGTACAGAATATACTTGAAGCACGCTTTTTTTTTTTTTTTGTAGTAAACATACAAAAACATTGATTTTAGATATCAGTACAATCTTTTATTTCAGTTTGCTTCTCTCGTGTAGATCTCTGCTGACGAGAGTATGCCTTTAGCAGCCGTAAAGGAGGTGGGAACTCAGGTTTATGAAAAGGGCCTTTACGCTGAATGCCATTTGAGTTCCCGTGTGGCACTGCTTAAATGACATTTACACTAAAGGTCCTTTGGCGTAAAGGTCCTTTTAGGTGCCCGTCTGACAGGGGTATAATGTATTGACTGGGCCCGAGTTAGAAATGAACGCTTACGCAGCTCTTGCATCCAATTCCTGCTTCATGTTGCGCTAACATCTAGAATGTATAGATAGGCCTTGAAACATCTGCTTAGGAGCATTTTCAACTTCCTTCATCAGTAAACAGAAGGCCGCCATTAGTACAGCACATGTGCCATTTTTTAAATGATGATAGTGATCAAAGTGGCCAGGCTGAATTCAGCAAAGGGTCGATTGTAGGCCTCTAAAATTTGTGAACTTGAGGTGTGCTCAGGCAAATTGGCCCACCGTAAAAGTAGATACAAGGTGACATTGACCATAGTAACTGGTGGCGGTCGCCCATTTGTTCAGCCTGATTTGCACAACCCATTTCTGCTCACGATTTTCGGTTTCGACGTCAACTACTGCAGTTTTTGTCTATGCTTCTTTTGCAGCTTCGACGACGTCGCAACTGAAAATAGCGAGCGAAATCTTGTCGTGCGAATCGGGCCTTAGCATCCATTTTGTGGCATCTGTGTGCAGTGGGTTGCTAATCAAACAATGCTAGGAAGTTGTACAGTTCCAACACAAAAGAAGTGCACGGCAACTCACGCCGACGACATCACATTCCAGTGGTTTGTCGATGTGGGACGGCGTGGTCGTTTTGCCCACACCCCGTCGCGTATACAGCGACGCCGCTAGGCGCGTGCTGGTGTGTTTGCATGTAAGAGTCGGTGTATGAGTCGCACCTTCATATAAGTCGCACATGGCTATGGGGGAGCTGTGGACCTACGCCACCAAGTTTTGAACTGTCTTCGGACTGCCGGAACGGCAGACCATCGGCGGGTGCTCTGCTGTACTTCCTTTGTCGTAAAGGTCGATGGCGCCTACGTCTTGCACAGTCAAGGCCGTACTTACCAAACAATTACACCGAAATTGCCGCCATCGCTACTCTGGTTCTCGACGAAGTGCGTGAGCATTTAGTGCAGGGATCTACGGTCTGCACACTGTCGTCTTAGAAGAGCAAGTCTATCCTCCTGGGTGTCGGCGGTTTTGTGCAGACGGCATCGTTGCTGCACCTCGGTTTCACATTGTCGCATACATTGTGTATACTGGGAAGGCGAAATCACGTCCCCACACCTCGGTGCCATCGTAAGAGGAGTGCACGTCAGCAGCGGCACGTCAGAAACGTGCGAGAAGAGTTTTCCTCTCATTTAACAGGAAAGTGAGCGTAACAAGCGAAAGAGCACTGTGGGAACCGTGTCGCGGACCCATGAAACCAGCCTGGTCCACACCGGGGCAATAAACGCTGACTCATTTAAAAGTGCATATAAGACGCACCCATGGAAATTAATCCGGTACAGGGGCTGGCAGGCCCTCAAATGTTCACTTAACGGCAAAGGTACAATGCTTACGGCTTAACCCTGAATGCAGAAAAAAAGTGCACTAGCCAACGCTCAATCCGCTCCCCCCCCTGCAGCAGGCGTACGGAGCAGTGTCCCCTGGCGGCCAGGAGCCCTCCGGCCTGATGCCAACCAGCCTGCCACCCATGTCGAGCTTCCGAGGCCCCTCGGGGGGCCCCCCTTCGACGGGGGCCTCCCGGCTCTACTCCGCACAGAACAACACCACCACCGGCAGCAACAACAACGGCTCCAGCAGCACCACCAGCAACAACAACAACAACAGCACGGCCAACAGCGGCGGCGCCAGTGCGGGCAGTGGCGTGGCCGGCGGCGTCGTAAACAGCGTCGTCATGGGCAGCAAGAACCAGGGCTCCCCGGGGGCGGCAGCGGAGGTGCTCTCTCGGACGGGGAATGCGTCGTCGCACGGTCCTCCCACGGCGTCCTCGCAGACGGGGGACACCCTGGGCAAGGCACTCGCCTCGGTCAGTCGGACGCTCCTTCTCTTTAAGCAGGGGGGGGGGGGGGGGGTAACTTGATTGGAGTTTTGCCAAGACTCGTGTCCTTGCCGATTGCCTCTTTAGGTGACATCAAAAGTGCTTCGACCTTGCTATATAAAGAGTCTTCAACGGTAGGCTGTGTTGCTTTTCTCGGACGCGCCGATTTTCCCTCTGCCAGAAACTGCCTAGTTTGTGCACCATTATGCGCTTAGTTGGCGCTTCACGAAAAGCTGCGTGTGCTAGTTTCCGCCTTTGTAGTGGCTCCTGCCACGGGACTGTGTGCGTGAAGGTGCCCTCTTCCAGAGCTACCAGCTTATGCCTGCAGCCCTGGTGGAGTGCTGAGAGGAACACAAACTAGGTCTGGTCTGTCTTCACCTCGACAGTTGTGGTAAAGAATGTCTTGCTGAGTGCTATTATTAGATCTGCCCTCTGTGAGGTAAATGAGGTTACTTTTATGTGCATGTACGTTGAATTAGTACTTATGATTTTGTCAATATCAGCGCCTTTTGGACGAAAATGGCACTCTTATTTTTATTTGCGCACCAGCAAAGTTTGTAAAAACTATGGGCAAAACCTGCCTTTTTCTTGAGGTGACAATGTCTAGTATAGCACTGTGAAGGTTACAGGTGAATCCATAGTTCTCATCTTTGCATCCTTCCATCTCTGCCTTGGTCATTGTACAACAGTTTGTCGGTTTTCCTGCTTGTGGATGAAGAAAAATTGGGAAGAATGTGGACATCGTGGAAGCAGCATTCGCATCTGCTGCAGTCATGGTAGTGGGTCATGGTGCGAGACATAACAGGCAGTCAAAAGTTAATGAGCATGTGCGTTTCAGCTTTCTCTACTGGGTGAAGAGTGGTAGAGAACAAGTATCTATTGAGCACCCTAAACAGCACTTCTGCATTTGTTAATTTGAGCTCCAAAATTTTGGGAATAGCGAGCCATTTTTTTATTTTTTTTGAAAATTCTCTTTGCACATTACCCTTCAGTAAAATATTCTACAAGGCATCCAATCTCTGACTTGTAATAAATGTGGCATGTTGCTTTTTTTTTTTTTTTTTTTTGAGAGAGAGAGTATATTTAGATTTTGATGCAACGCAAACAGTGGACCAACTAAATGACATAAAATATGCTTTGCCCTTCTTCCATTCGGTCTTCCTTCCTACTGATGGATTACCCTAACAATTTCGAGCTCGCACGAGAAACCGTGGTGCAGAGCTGGCTCTAACACGTCCCCTCTGTGCTCTTTTCGGCGTTTAGCAGATATATTCAGCCGACCACCCGGGGAGCAGCTTTTCATCCACGTCTTCCACACCTGTCAGTTCTCCTCCGCCCCTGCCCGGTGAGTGAGCCGAATGCCCGTGCCTTTCCGTGCTGGAACCTGATGGGTCGCCCTCCTCCTGACATTTCCCTGTGTTCCATTTCAGGAGTGGCACAGTGGACGAGAAACAGTGCACAGTCTGGGCAACTACCTTCGAGCTTCCAGGAAGCGACCATGCATCAGCTGGTATGTGACTGTGCACCTCGCATTTGGGCTATAGACTTTTTTTTCTTAGTACTTCCCAGCTGCTACACTCCTGTTCCAGGGTAAAGTGGTTGTTCTTGGCTTAGTATTTTGGGGAAAAGGTTTCGAGAGATTTAACTGGCATAATGGCCCATGTGTCTGCTGAGCCATGTGTAACTTGATTATGATGTGGTCTTTGCTCCGTCCAATACATGGAATGAAAATACCGGAATATCTCTAGATATGGCCCACCTAAGATCGGGAGCAAATCTGGCAAAAATAGGGAGGGGCTAACTTTCGGTATACAGTCGAGAAAAGTTGAAAAAGAAAGCTATTTTTAGATCATGTTTTACTGCCAAACTTGTTGTCGCAGCGAGGGACAGTGAAGGAATGACCACTGTACTACTTCCGAATCAGCACTGTTTGATTATATTCTGCCCTAGCTAACTAGCCGCATTTACGCCGATGTCATTATTGATGATGCAAATCAAGCCGAAAATGGCAGTGGGTTACCTTTCGGGGATGGGGCATTTCTCGGTATATTACAACTGCGAGTATTCATTGGCGACCATGGCTGTGTGTATGGGTGCTGATCGCATGCTGTTGGCGACCTTCCGCAGTTCTTTTCAACGTGCAATTTACACCATCATGATTTCCGGTCTTGGCAGAGCTTGTTCTGAGCATGCACTCTAAAACATCGCCCTGAAATATGACGTCCTCTAAATACCCTTATAGGTGCGGCAAAATTCAGTTCACATTATGGGTTTCTTTTTTTAATCCTATGCTTTGAAAGTGTGCTTTCTAAAGTTTTATATTGCAATGTATTTTGCATGAGGATAATGAGATATCATTGAAGGTCATGTTGTGCTACCTTATGGGATGTTGTGTTATGTACGATAGCTACTGTGTGTTGGGCGTTGGGTATTTGCTAAGAATTTCCCCTCTTCACTTTTGTGAACACTTTAAACCTTTGTTGTAGGGTACTTCCCAGCTCTGCAGGCTGACATATGTATTTCTTTCAATTGCAATCTCAGGTGTCTACTTTTCTCTAGACTTATTGCAATTTGCTTTGAAGTTGGAATGAAATTTGCAATGTACTTTGTTTATGCTTAATCTAATCCCATTCTGCTTTGAACGACCTTGCATGAACTGACATTGCTTCCACTGACTCCTCCTCATAGCACCAGCCTACTCTGAATGAAGGTTGTGACGATGACTTTCCTTTTTTCGAAGACAGTCGGGAGGTAAATGGATGCTGTTACTTCGTTTCAATTTGCCTCGAGTGCGTTTTTCGTTCCGCAAAGCTTGCTTCGGCCCTTATTTGTTACTGCTAATAGCTTGTGGCTTTTCTGTGAGGTATTGCCTCGTGCTCTTCGTTGTCCATGCTGTTTTTGAAAGTCGTAGCTTGTTTGTGGCTTTTACTGTGGCTTAGTTCATTCCACGTGAAAGTGTGTTGCCGTTTCCTTCCATTATTCGAGCTACTGTGGAGGTCGACCGCTCAAAGGTGGTTCTTTTTTTTGGCAATCTGCTAGGCTAGGGGAGGCTTCTAGCTGCTTTTGCAAGCTCTCGTGGTGAATCACTGCTGGTATGATCTGTGGCTTGTCAGATCAACTGCTTGCCTATGAACTGCTAATATTTCATTATGTCTAGAATTTTTATTTAATCCAAGAAATACCAATTATTTGTATACTTCATTTTAGCTAATCTGATTTTCACTGGGGTATAGTTTTTTTTAAAAACACCTCACCCTTCCCATTTGCTTCTTCATCGCAGCCATCACAGTTCGTTAGAGTGCAGCATGCAGTGTTGACACTGGCTATCGTCATGTAGTCCAAGTGATTTGAGATGCTTGTGTGCCTTGCACTGCTTCTGCCGATGGTCTTGTGTGGCGCAGGTCTGGGTGCAATGCCTAACAGTGAAAGTGACCCGTAAGTGAGTGCCGGGACTTCAGGGTTCTACTGGGTAGAGGTAGCTGTGGATAACAAGAATTTTCATGCATTCCATGGGGGTTTCCATGTGTAACATGCCTTTTGTTCGAGTTGTCTTACATGTTGGATAGGCAGAGTTTATTCTTGTAAATCTGATCATTCCGGACTGCTTCGTGTCTCTCAAAATTTGCGGATTACTTTTGTTCTTCCGTGTTTGCAGAATATAAAAAAAATTGATTTTGTAAAAGTAAAAAAAAAAAAAAAAAAGACAAACTAAAGGTCCTTTTTAACTTTTTTAAGGAAGCTAAATTTGGGTAACTTTCAAGGAAGCTAAAACTTAGCCATGCCAGGAAACACCGTTGACTGGTTAGGAGCCATTTGTACCATACATAGGTGGGAGATGTCCAGCGGTGGACGCAGGTGTTTCCAGAAAGGGGGGGGGGGGGGGGGGGGGGGGGAGGGGGGGTTCAGTCAGCGTATCAGATGTATAAGACACCCCCCACTCCTTTTTCCCTGTCCTAAAATATTACACATGCGGATTCGAAGTACAAAGTACTAAGTCAAAATACACACAACAACATTGTGTAAAAAAAAAAGGAGAGGCGCTCTAGGCAGAGATAAGTTGTTTATATGTCTTCAACTACTGAAGGTAGGGTGCACAAACCGACACACAAGGGGACCATACTCGGGTTTACCTTGAGGGCCGACGACCAAACATGAGATTCTGCGAGGCAGAAGATCCTCCTCACCCTGGGGGAGGAGGAAACGGGGGGGGGGGGGGGGGAGGGGAGGGAGGGAGGGAGGGAGGGAGGGAGGGAGGGAGGGAGGGAGGGAGGGAGGGAGGGAGTGCAAAGCGCCAACTGGTCGGAAGTCTTTAAGATGGACCGCAGAGGAAGTCACGAGCCATCTAAGTCAATTCAATACTGCGCGAGTGCACGTGATCATCGGAGAAGGCGCAGCGACGCACCGGATTGAATGGTCGCACGATACGTTCACAGTGCCGGATTGGCTGGGGTGGCTTCTAGCATCCATTGTAAAGGCTCGTTCACACAGCAATGCAACGCTTGCCGCAACGCAGTGCAGCAAGCCGCACTGCGTTGCGGCTTGCTGCACAGTGCCTCCCCATTGGCTTGTTGCAAGGGTCGCCATAGTAACAGCTTGACGCTCACGGAGGTCCACTGTACATTTCTTCGACCTCACACCGTTTCAAAGAATTTGAGATCGCTGGAAGGGCCCTAAAAGAACTTCGGGTTGGGGCGGTTTGGAGGCGTCAGGGAAACTCCAGCTCCAGGACAACTCAATCTTTGACATCACTGCACTGGCACGGATCGCGCGGTAACTTCAAATCGGGCTTTTGGAAATTGTTTTTTTACTTCATAAATACCGAATTTCCAAGTTTTGAAATTTGAGAGTAATGTCCAGGCATCGTTTTCAAACGTTTCGGATAATAAAAAAAAAAAAATAATTTTGACCTATCAGTGCCTCTTTAAGGTGTAGAAGAGTATAGTTAGCCCAGTGTAAAAGAGAAAATCAACTCTAGGAGATGTATGCGATCCAACAGAGGCTGCTCCGTTGCATTGCACCCATCTGCTACGGTCTAGTTGAATGGATCCACAAGTGCGCCGCGTTCGGCGACAGGTCTTTCTACTTCTGTGGCAGGTAAATGGAACAGCTACTACCAGGTGTCTGGGGGAAAGGTTAGCCATGTTTTCCTCACCACAAAAGTAAGCTACGCATCGCCGAACGCTCGTTTTCCACACAAATGTGGTGCTAGCAGTTGGAGCCCGATGCCAAAACTTCAGAACTGACCATTATAAAGTAATCATGTTGCATGCATGTTTAGACAGCCAGAATTTAGTCAGTTGCGGTGTGCGCTTGGTGTCTGAGCTGTAGATGAGAAATTTAGGCACGGTGGTACAATTGCTTGCCTGGGGTCTTTAATGTGCATTACACAGTAGTGATACATGACTGCACCCTGGTACAATGCTCATCCAGATCGAAGCGGGCGGGGGCGGGGATTAAACCCAGGATCCCCGAGTTCTGCAGCGCGAGCTTTCCCTCCACGCCAAGGGTGCACAACATGCGGCGCCGCATCTGGCTTGCAAGCACTTCCTGTGCAATCCGCGGACATAACACTGCGAGATATGCTCAAGATGGCAACCAGTGCGATGATGCCAGATATTGAAAACCTGTCTGCCAGTAATAAACATTTTTTTGGCCCCCGTCATTTTCGAGTTGTGCAGTCCTGCTATATGTGCTCTGGTCCAGTTCAAAAGTTATAGGCGAGTCTTTCAGAAATTTTCAATCAGAAAATGGCAGCTTATAAAGCCCACAAATGTATGGAGTTAAATGGCGTCGATTACCTGGAACGGGCACCATTTGCTCGTTAAAAATATATGGGGAACGGTCAGTTTTGAAACTTTGGCATCTGGTCTGGACCACTGGTGGGTGTATGTTGGGGTTATGCATTGTTTATTTTTGCAGCAAATGAGAAGTGGCCAACCTTTCTGTCAAACTCTTGGTAGATGCAGGGTGTGGCAACATGAGCTGGTCCAGTGGCATGCAGGCTGGGTCAGCACGAAGCCACGCGGGAAGCCCCAAGTACAGCAAGTCGTTAAGAGAGATGTTTGAATGGACTTCCACATTTCCTATTGTCTTTTTAGTAGCTTAGCGTGCCGGAAACACTTCGTGCAGCATTTTAACCCCTTCCGGACAGCATTAAACTGGGCCAGTTCACATTGCCTTTGAACGTGCACTTTGCCACACCCAGGGATGGGCAAAATACAGGCAAATATGTATTGAAATACAAATACAAAATACTTCATCAAAAATGTATTTAATTACAAATCTAATTACATTTCCAGAAAAGCATTTAAGTACTAGATACAAATACAACCAAATGTATCTGGTCTCCTCCAAATACTTTTCCAAATACATTCCTCAAAATTTGCGTCAGTGACTTCAGGGCACCTGTAGCGGGTTTCTGGGAATCTCATTCTAATTTTGCATCACACACTCGGGAGTTAGCGTGCGAGGCTCTAGTAACGTAATAGAAATATAGTCACAAAAAAATGTGATTATATTATTAAGCTTGGACGTAATACGTGAAAAAAGTACAAAACTTCAAGCAGCTTTTTTTTTTTTTTTTTTTCGATTACATATTGGTAAAGACCAGCAAAAACCGAGACGACCAAGACACGCAGCACTAGCTAGAGAATTTTTTATTGTTGCAACTCGCTCCTGTTACGAAAATCTGAACGACCCACGCATTTAGAATGATCCACGCAAAAATATGGATGGAAATCAGGCTGGAAAGCATCACAAGTTGTCACAGGCACTTATTTAGCCAGTCTGCCTGTTAACGTCGATTTCGTCTCTATTCTTGACCTGGACTAGCACCGTTATCACAAAGTCACTAAACGCTTGTGCTTGGTTGAGAGGCACTGCATGCAGTGCATAACGTAGTTTTCTTCCTGCTCTGGACAATGACAATAAATTTGAGGGATGTATTTTCGCCCACAAAATTGTATTTAATTACATTTGTATTTGAAATACCCACGTTTTTGTATTTAAATACGCACGTCAAATACATGATCCAATTTGTAATTAAATACAAATGCAAAATACACAAAGTATTTGAAATACGTATTTCAAATACTTGTATTTGAAATACTGCCCATCCCTGCCCATTGGAGAGTGCCTGGAGAGGTGCAGGGTGTCATTCTTGCGTTGGGGTCCTCTTTTAGCAGACGCGGGGTGTGCTGGAGGAGCGTCTGGACGACGCCCTGAGCGTGCTGCGCACGCACGCGGAGGGGGCTGCCCTGGGACCTGCCTTGGGCCTTACCCCGGGGGGCACACATTCCAATGGCCTGCTGGTGGGGGCCCTGCCGGGGCACCCCTTCTCCCCGGGCATGCCCACCATGGAGCCCCACGGGGTGAGCACTGGGCTTCACGCAATAAACGTCCAGCATATGTTCTCAGGCTGTCTTCCCCAGAGCAGCCTTATGGGCTCACCAAAGTACCCTCATTTGTTCCCTGGGATACCCTTATTGGTTCCTATATGGGTTCCCCAGGGTTCCCTTATGGGTTCCCCAGGGTACAGTTATGGATTTCCCAGGATTTCCTTATGGGTATCCCAGGGTACCGTTACGGGTTCCTTATGGCTTCCCCAAGCTCTAAAATTTCATTGACCATTCCTTTCCTTAAGGTTTTTCCAGTTTGAGCACTATTTTAGCAGACTTTCCCATTGGAGCGCAACTGTGAGCCAAACGCTCCTACTTTGTGCATCACTGTTGAAAAGTTTTTCGGCGCTGCTCTATCTCATCGGTGCCTGACAGGTGTTCTTCAACTGTCTAGTCGAGAGAGCTAGTTGTTCTTTGAGATTGGAAAAGTTTGAAAACCCCAGAACCAGAGGAAAGGCCTGACCACGCTTGCGTTGCGGGGGCTTGCTGCGCACCACTGGCTGCTGCGGGGTGACGGCCAAGACCAGTTTTCGCTCAGAGCGGCACGCCGCTGGGCACCGTGAATGTAACCTTCCCATGCGCAGCCAAGGGCTCGCCTGTTCTCATTGCGGGAAAAAGGAGCCAACGGGAGGTGGCGTAGATAGTGACGTTGCAATGGCATGGCAATGCGCAAGCCGCTTCTCCGCGCATTTTTGACGTTGCAAAGGGGTGTAGCGTTGTTTCGTTTCGTCTGCTATCCTCGAAACTGTGCGACTCTCCTTTTTTTATATGACAGGACGTAGCCATACTACCTAGATAAGAACGCTAAGAGCAACCGCTGGGAAATTATCGAAGATGAATTTGAAATAACAGGCGAGTTTCTCCGTGTCGCATGTAGCCTGCGTTGATTTGGTGACACTCTTGAAAGTAGCCTTCATTTCTGGCACACAGTCGGGGCACCAAAGCACTGAGCGTTCCCTCTGTGTTTTTGTAGCACCAACTCGACCGGATCTAAAACCTGCGCCTCCTTCCGTTCAGAGCCAAGCAACTTCGCCAGATCAACAAGCAGGCTAGCATGATCATGTTCATACCGATCACCAGTTCATCATCGACACTTAACATGTAGACAGCGAGAGAGGTTTCGATGCTGATATATGCGAAACATCGGAGCCAAAACGGAAAAACCTATTGAAGAGCAGACGACGAAAGATTTGGGAAATCCAGTGGGAGGCGCAATTTCGAGAACGCGAGAGCAAGTGACTCAAAACGGAGGCCAATATGGCCTCCTCTCGTTGGGACGCCGGATGGAGGTGCCGCCCGGCGGCGCCGTTTCCGCTAGTGCGGTCAGGCCGGAAGAGGTCTGCCATCTTCCCACGGATTTCGTTGTCTTCGTAACAGCGGGTCATAGTCTCGTACAAAACCTTTGTTCCAATGGGCCCGTACTACTGACGATGCTTTAATAAACGCAAAGAAGCAGCAAAGCATTGCTCGTAAGGCCTGTACCTACCTCTTTATCTTCCCTTTATTTTGCAGGAAAGCATGGGCATGCACGTTGTGTAAAAGAGTATAAAAGAATAAGATTGACAAGCAATCCAACACTGATCAGTGCGCTCAAACAACTTGAACTCTTTGCACCAAAGGGAATACGTCTAACGTTTTTCCATCTTCCTGCTTTTCTGTCACTCTTTTCTCATTTTTCCTCTGGGGACCTCCAATGTCGGCGCCAGTGATTTGCCACGTCGTACTCCCATCTTTGTCTCTCTGGGATAAGCACATGGACCAAACTTTTGCATCAAGGTGTATGTCAGGATGTATCTATACAGCGAGCTAGTTTGTCTGCTCCTTGCACTGAGGTTGTAGTGACGAGCGTCTGCCAGTCGCAGCTATGCCCACCTCGCATTTTCTACGGCTTTCAGAAGTGCCCCTGTTATTAGGCCGTATTCGCAAAAGGGAGAAATTCGCCCGATTTTTCCGTGGAGCGTGCACCACGTGACGAAAATGTTGCACCTTTGTGATATAGCACGGTGATGTCAGCTTCGTGGCAGAGGGGTGAAGGGGATGTTTCGGGCAGTAAAAACAATCCCTGTTTGGTGGCGAGTCAGTTTGCTTTTAAAGGCCGACGTGCACTTTGTGCTTTCCACTTTTTCCCCACCCCTTTCTTTTCCATATCCTGGCCCACCTTTCGACTTGCCCCCAAACATGGCTTCCCTCTCAGTTGGGGAGAGGAGGTTGCCAAGAGGATTATCCTCCCCGCTAAAAACCAAGGTCATACGTCGGTTTTTGACGATATTTTGTTGCTAAAAGATTTGGTGCCTAGTGTAGAAAACTCTAAACTCCTCTACTAACGCCGTCATCCCTCCCATTGGTGCCTCGTCTGGAACAAAGGGTGGAGCTGCACCTACTGCCGACGCCATGTGCATACCTCCGCAATTTTGTCCCTTGTGGGAATACCACCTTACAGACGAGGACCTTGCCTTCGAGAAAGGGGAGTCGAAATAGTTTGGAGGGTTTGTTGCTTTTGTTTACTATACTGGGGGCAACCTTTCTCGGCAGTGCAAGTCAAAGGTATGGGCATGCGTGCCTTCTCCCATCCTGAGCACCGATCAAAGTTGTGCGCGTACTCTCCTTCTTTCTTGAAAATGCCAAGAAAAGTTGTCCCCGAGCATCATGATTGCCACATGCACTATAGCAAACAAAGAGCTTGTGGCGGGGCTTGTTCACGTGGTGGCTCTCTCTCGCCTTATTTACGCCTCCCGTCTCGTGTACGAAAAAACTCCAGAATTTTTCGTACCTTCACTCTTATGCGCAAAGAGACATGTTGTCGCATGTGCTTTATTGTTAGGTCATTGAGGCGGAAAGGTGGCAGAGGGCGACTTTGCTGTTGCTCGTGTTAGTGTTGTAAAGGTGGCGGTTCAGGAACTTTAGGACGCAGTGAGCTTGCACCTTTTGTTGGGCTTCTCAAAGAGGCTAATTTCGGTTTCTGATCAGCCGGCGACTTAAGTAGAAGGCTTCTGTGAAACCTGGGCAGGGGCTTTTACGCTTTAACATTGATTACTGTGTATTCCGTTGCAGACGGTGCAAGCTTGACCAGTTGTTTTTCTGTCTTTCGCTTCAGGCCACGACTTCAATCATAGGGGGCTAGTGATCTAGATACAGTAATGCAGTCTTCCCTGTTTACTCCTCATGGGAACCAGTCTCTATCAGTCCCCTTACCCCCTACTTGCAGCACCCTTAGAGATGCAAATTATCCAACTACGAAGTGATACAATGGGCATGTTCCTTGGCAAAATAAATATTCTAAACCCCTGCTGCTTTTTTTTTTTATCGCTTATTTTATGTTTTAAGTGGAGGCATTCCCTTGGAGGGTCTACTTTTTGAGTACCGGTGCTATTTCAATGAAATTGGCAGGGCATACTAGGCATGCAAACTTAGGAGGCTATACCAATTTTTAGCTGAAAAGGTCAATTTTGTGCCAAGTTACAGCCTCGTGTGTCAAAAATATGATACAACTAGTAGTTCCGCAGGAAAAAAACTATTGTTACAAAACTGTACCAAAATGTCACAATTTGTTTTGCTTGGATATAAGGACGAGTGACTAGACTAATCGGTAGTGGGTTTCAAATAATTTTAAGTGCCATATTTAGCGTTAAAGTAAACTTCGAAAAAAAGGCTAATTTCATTCAATTCTTTACTTTTAAAAAAGTCGACATTTTCTCGCTAAGGGAGTAACAATCTTGAAAAAGTAAGTGTATAGTTGAGTTCTCCAGTCAATTTTACTCCAGAAAACCGCACAGCAGTTCTGAAGGTACTTCAGTCATCGAACGATAGTTTTTGAGCAATGAGAAAATGGCCAAAACATGAAGCTGAGGCAAACGCATTTGAAAATCCACATTGTGTTCCACTTTAGATGGCACTTGCCACTTAACCTAAAATGCTCCAGGAGCATATGTCAGTCCTTCCTCTGCATAATCCTTTTGTGCTTTGGCCACAGCTTCCATCTTTCGTCTCTTATGTGATGTCTTGGAGGACTTGAGTGCTTTCACCTGGGCCTTTGCTATCTTCGTCTGAGTGGCCTTGATGGCTTGTGATGTCTTGGTGGCTCCCTGGATCAATGCCCATCTCTAAAAGAACTTTCCCAAAGCCTCTAGGACCTTCGTTGAACTCCCAAGACTGCCAGAGCCACGGCACACTCGACAGTCTTTAGAGAAGCAAATTCTACCTTTGGGCGCTCAAGGCGTTGAAACATTCATTCGCGTTCTGGGTCTTCATCCTGGAACATCTTTCATGCAAATCCCTCCGTGACAGGCGGTTATACAAGGGCACTAGCTCCTTTGCTATCTCCTTGGAGAAAGCCGGCTTGTGTGGCCGAGATGCTGGTGATTCTCCCGCTTCCTCAAAGGCGTTACTTTGGTTGAACTGGCACCAGGAGTCCATCCCAGTGGGGCAAGTGGTGTGCCTCGGCTCCTCGTCAGTGGTGTATGAATGCAGGAGACTAGCATATACTCCACGCTGCATGGCTGTAACATCAGGTGCGCTGTCTTTGAGGGCACAGGCATAGTAGTTGGCTAGTTCCTTCATCTTGATGTTTGTCAGCTTCCCCTTTCCGCCAAGTCCCTTCTTTGCTTTCTTGAGGGATTCTAGGCCTGCGTACATCCGTTTCGCAACGTGATTAATGCAGTCCTCTTTTTTCAGCTCCTTGTTATAGAGGTCAAGACTGGCTACTTTAGAAAAAGCCTTACTGTCGCCGTTGCACAACATGGTCGTGTACTGCATACCATGTCGCTCTACCAAGCGTCCGAAAATAACTGTAGCAGCCTCCACTTCCATTGCGCCGGCTGACCCGTTGAAATTCCTCTGACAGTCGGGGCGGTGGCCCTCCATCCACTCTTCATGCCCTTCAGATCCTGGCTTGGAACCTTGGGTGCACAGCTGACACTAATTGCTGTGGACACTGTAGTCCAGCACAAGGCCACTTTCCAGTTCAATGGCGACGCCAACACCAAAGTGGGAGGTGTGGCCGCGTTTGTGCCAAGTTCCATCGAATGTGATGCACACGTCCAGCAATTAGTCTTTTGCAACTATCTTCGCTTTGCGCACTGACTGCGCTGCACTTCTCATGACTTTGCCGGCAGCTGTCACGGCTGCATCATGCACTTTCGCGGCAGCTTTTTGGGCAGTCTTCAGACACATCAGCGGCGGTAGGTTTATTTCGGTAAAAAGATGGGAAAACATCGTGAAGCTCTCCCCCGAGTCCCATGCTGAAAGACCGATGCGTGCTGCAAGTTCATTCTGACGAGTGTCGCCGATGTTGACCAAGTGCAGGGCTCTTGCCACTTCTCCACAAGTTGCGCACAAAACAACAAACTCAAGGTGAATGTCTTTCCCACTTTCTGTCAGTTCGAGAGAAGATCCCGCACATTCCAGGCACAGCAAAGCACTCATCAAATTCTTAATGCAGGAAACGTTGATCAAGCGGTAGCCTTCAGGCTCGCTGCTGTTATTTAAGCCTTGTGGCTCCTCGGCGCATTTCGTGAATCCCTGTTGTTGTATCATCGCTATCTTCCGCTCAATCGCAGTCAAGTCATCTTCGAGTGCAGTTCCGATCACCTGCGTGCAGTGCAGTTCTGATCACCCAGATGATTGAAGTTCTTCGTGTTCCGACGCAGCGGGAAGCACAAAGGCGACGGGAGAATTTGAGGCACTCGACGACGACGGAGCGTTGGAAATGAGGCAGGATCGCTTCCGTTGTCTGCATTGTGAGGTCGTCCACTTCCTCATCGCTTTGAAAACTGATTGCAGCTGCCGAACTTGAACAGCGAAGGCTTGCCACGCAAAGTCACCGGCATCGTGGGGTGGAACGGTCAAGCATATGCGACGCAGCTATTAAACGAAACACCGACTGGCCGAAATTGCATGCGAGCAGACGTGTGTGGGGTCACGTGACAGGTTTGAGCAAATCAAAGCTCCTTCTTCGCCAGTGTGGCCAATAAGAGAGCGTGCAGTGTTGTTTTCTATGGGGTTTCACAGTTATTGCATATGATGTCTCGCAAGTAGCTATACACCAAAAGGAGGAGGGTGAAACGCTGTTTCCAATTAGGGGTGGCTCTCTGCGCTAGGCCTAATGAACGCGGAGCGAGCGCGCTTTGTGTATGACAAATTTGTGCAACCGTGTGCATTTTTACAAGGTGCGCGCGACCGCTGGTACGTTGAAAAGAATTTATTTGGGAGTAAATAGTTTATCTATAGGAATAAAACTTTTTGACAGCATTCTTCAAGGGTAAAACATAACTTTTTTCAAAAAATTGCGATTTGGACGCTGTGCCCCCCCCCACTTAATGACATGATTGAAGCACGCAACACAAACTACATCTAGTGATTTTTGCTTACCTATTTTGTCACCCTCATGAAAAGAAGTTTGTACTTCAGTAGTTCTGTTGCTACATGATGTTTTTTGAGTCTGGTATCCCATTACTTTGACCATTAAGGCTGGAATGTAACATTGCACTATTTTTTGCAGGCCAGTCCACCCGCACTGTCTGACAGTTCGATGAGGAGTAGGACGTCGCTTACTACTCCTAACAGCCAAAACCCATCACATTACGGTAAGTGGGACCTGCTATAGATCCATGGTTGGTTTGATTTTTGACCCAGTTCAACTTTTGGGTAATGTTCGGTCTAATTTTTTTATGATTGCTTCGAACCCGTATTGTGGCCAGGTATTTACCCTATTGAAAATTCCATCAAGGTACGTAATTTGGGACACTGACTGCCAGTCAGCAGCCTTGGTGGAACGTGATGGACCATCAGACGTCATCTGATGGTCCATCAGATGACGTCTGACTGCCACTGCCAAGGGAATTTCATCAACAAGGGCAGCATTTATATAAGAGTAAAGCTATACGCACTCATAAATATCGCCAAATGCCTCAATAAAACAAAACGTTCAAAAAAAAAAAAAAAAAAGCTGGTTTATTGCGCATCAAACCCGCGACCATTTGTATACAAATCGGGCATCTTAACCACTATGCTATGCCTCCGCTTTGCAAACTCGATTTGACTATTCGATTTATATGAGATGCTTCGGCTACAAATGCAGTAAAGTTGTCAGCGTGTTATGCAAAGCACTCGTACATCACTCACCATACTTCAGTTCTACTCACCTGCCATGTAGAGTACTTTTGGGTCGTAGAGCGATCCTTTTGTTCGCGCGTCACCGGCCCAGTAGACCTGGTACACCTTGTCGTCTTCAACTACACCGCTAAAGTCCCTTACATCGTCGGTACTCACAACAGGCTGGGTCTTGTCGAGTAGAAATTCTACTAAAACATAAGACATTGTAGAGCCCGGGCAGGATCGACAGGTTAAAGCAAGCGGGCAAACAAAACGAGTCGAGAGTGATCGTTCATGAAAGCTCGGCGACGTCTCTATGGGCGAAGCGAAGTCGGCGAAGTGTCGTGTTCGGCGCTTCGGCGGGCTTCTGACCAAGGTTGTTGGTCCGTTGCGTGTCATATTTCTAACGTCAGCGGTTTTATGGGCTCACGTCCCGAAATCGTTTTCTCGTGCATAGATTACTTTTCGTATTCATAGATTTGACGAAATAGTGGTATCCGAACGAACTTTACGTCCTTTGACCGTATGTCTGTCTGCACGTCAAAGCTTTTTGACGTACAGTTAGGGACAATCGATGTACAGTCAGAATCACCACCAAGACATCCTTATGGCATTTCGCGGCGGCCAACTGCCACCAGGAAACCATCAGAAAGCCGACAAGCGGAGTCTGGCTGGAGTTTGACTGTAGGTCAGAGTAACTTGTTGGCCAATCAGACATGCTTGACGTACAGTCAGGCACAGTCAGCGGTCCACTAGAAAACATTGACTGCCAAACAGCGTTACATTGATGGATTTTTCCTTCGGGTAGCAATGGGCTCTGGGCAGACGTGCCATGGGGCCTGGCCCCCCCCCCCCCCCCCCTCCTCTAAAATTTTTCATTTTGCTGGGGCCTCCTCTCCCGCCTCCCCCTCATATAGCATTTTGTCATGGGCGGCCCCCCCGCTTTCCCGAAACAAAATCCCGGCGAAGCATTCTTATTAAAAACCGACGTATACTTCGCGCTTTCCACTTTTGCTCACCTCCTCCTTTCCTATATCCTCTCCGCTTTTTACCTTTTCCCTACAGTCGAAAAAGCTTGTATCGAACAGTGCAGAGATCACAAAACAGTTCAATATAGCCATACTTTTATATATAAAATGAGATAAGACACACACTTAAGCGCCACGCGATGGGCACAGTAACGAGCTTACCTGTAACTTTCACCGCCGCATGCTTTCTTAATTGATTAGGATTTTTACTGGAGACCACTATGTTGATTTATTTCACTGAAAAGAAGTGTGCCAAGGTTGCCTGCTTTTTAGAGTCAATAGCATGCTTTCTTACAGCCTGCTCCACGGTGTCGAGGCAATACGCAAGTGCAAGTCTACTTCCTTCTATTGCACTGCAATAGCAGCGCAGCAGAGCAACGGCGCAACAACTTCGCTTGAGGCTGGGCGTGGCGCAGCGTATTTGATGTCCGCAGGACCAGACTCATTGTTCGCAGCAGGCTGCTCGCTGGCAACCTCGGCGGCGATATCAATATTTATCAACTCCACCGTAGTCCCGTTGTCATCATCGCCAACGAAGTCGTCTATGCTCATTGTCTCAGGCACAGCACCCACAAAACGAGAGAACCTGTCCCACATTCTGTCGAGCTTGCGGCGGTCTTGTTTGGGCTTGTCAGGAAGTGTATCACTCAGTCCTTTAGCTTGCTCAGAAAGCTCCTCGACGCAGGCCACGAAGCCAGCGTACAGAAAGCTTGAGAATGAAAGCAAAGTCCCTTGCCTTCTTTCGCGACATTGATCCCGATACGGGGATGCTCCTGGGCCCTGACATCCATAAACCACTTGTACGTCGTTTCCTTGACTTCTTGAAAGTCCGACTCCCGAACACGTGTGAGTCCGAATGCTTGCCTGCAGCTTTCACTTTGATGTCACTCTTGTTTTTGAGCAAAGTACTCAAAGTACATCGATGAACATCGCAGGTCTCGGCCACGCTTGACTTCTTCTAGCCCTTCTCAACGTCCCTAATTATTTATTGCTACGTCGCAAATGTCATCGATATCCTTTTCTTCACATTCGCTGCCATGGCTTAGTTCTACTGACAGTAGACGCAGAAACGTCCGTCGCAGGTGGAAACAGTGACATGAACAACACCAACCTTTGAATACGTGCGTGCATTTTCTTGGCTATGAAACAGAACCGCTGCTATGCTCTCCGTGGTGCTCAAAGGGGCACTGACTCCCCAAGGGTCGTATCTTCTTTTTTTTACTGTCTAAAACGATGCACGTTGTCGTCATGGACACATAAAAAAAAGGCATCACAAAAAAAGTTTTCCTTTTTCGCTTTTCACCTCCTCGCTGCTTTTGATTCGGGACGTCAAAAATCATGAAATTTAGAAGCTTTGTAGGCGACATTTCTATAACATTTAATAACAGCAATCGTAAAACGTGTTTTTTAATGCAGTTGCGAACGCACCACAGCCCTTCTTTTTGAAATACCGAAAATCGGAGTCCGTTGTGGTGCCGTTTCCTGGATTTGTATCCTCCCACGGAAAACAGGCGACACCGCTCAAAACCGGTCCGCCGGCACCTGCTCCTTTCCTCCTCGCTTTGGGTCACGATGGCAACAGCACGGAGTAGTGAAAGAAAGTCGCCTCTCAGGACTCCGCAATATTTGACGTCAACGCACCGGTGCGGATTGCATGGGAACTTCAAATTCAGCATTTGGAAATAGTTTTTTTTACTTCACAAGTACTGAATTCCCAAATTTCGAATTTTGAGGGTAATGTCCCGGCATTGTTTTCAATCGTATTGGGATAATAAAAAAAAAAATATGATTTTGATGTGTCAGTTCCCCTTCAAGGCATCTTGTGCTTGTGCAAGCGTCACAAGCACCTGTCGCGCCGCCGCTGCCTATTGGTGCACTGCAGGAAAGCCTGCCACATGGCTCAGGGGCATGCCGATCCAAAGCTGGAGAATTGGCTATACACATTGAGAGTCCGATCGCATTTGATATATAAAGTAAAAAACTTGCGTATTTTTGGCTCCCCTCACAGCTTAGGAGATAAGAGCGCTAAGAGGATTATCTTCCCTTCAAAAAACTGGGGTTTTTCGTCAGTTTTTAGCGGAATCCACATTAATGAGGCACAACTGTATTAGCTATATTTTCATATTGCCATACTTGCTGGCATATTGGCTATTTTACCGTGTTAGCCGTGCTCTGCATCATCACCAGTGAGGTGATATAGCGAGCCTCGTCCGCTTTTCGGTGGTTAGAATTTTGCCCAGTGTATGGCCAATGTGCCTGCTGCCTCCTCTCACCTTGAGTGTGTGGTGTGGTCTCTCCCTCCCTGGCCTGCAGTGGACACGAGCCCGGGCGTGAAAGTGGAGAAGTGCAAGGATCCAGACAAGCTGGAGCACAGCAAGATCAGCCCCCCGAACTCCCCGGGTCCCCTGGGCGCCAGCCTGACAACTCCAACTGCTACGTCTTCTTCTGGTGGAAAGTCTGCAAAGCGATCGCGGTCAGTCCCTGGCCCGTGGCCACACTCTCTGGGGGCATTCCTTCGTGCAGTAGTTGCATTCTATCTAAGAACTTGGCCACTGTTCACGAACCAAGTCCACGTGTGTGCCTGTGGAGCACATTGCACACTGCAGTCAGTCATTGCAACTTACAAACTGGAGGCACCGAAAGTGTTTCATAGCCATTCATTACAACCTATGGAATAAGCTTGGAGAATTACGATGCATTGAAAGTGTGTGGTAGCCTTATCACAATCTACAGGCTGAGTTTGAGCATTGTATAAATAATTTAAGTAAATGAATTCACTCTAAAGTGCTCTGAATCTAAAAAAGATCAGGGTTTTCATCCGCTCGTGGAACTTTTGAAGTCTGGCAAGCACTCAGTTGTCGCGTAAAAAAAAAGATTGCTAAAAAATGTCTCTGAAAACAAAAGAAAAAGATTAAAATGCATCTGTGTCAGCATGGTAGTTAAGCCTCAGAAGCAATCGACGACAGCTGTGTCCCAACCAAAAACTTGCTGTAATGCATCTGAGCTCATTCTGTGTACTTACTGGGTGGGTTCATTTGAATTCGACAAAATTTCTCAAAGCTTAATTCTCACGATAAGCAAAATGGTCCCTTAAAAAATTTTAACCTAATAGTTTTGTGTAAAAGAAATTCACAATGGTACGTAGTGAACAGAAGACAGCGGAGCTTCATTGATACAGTCACGTTTTTATGTTTCCTGGCTCTTGCGTTCAGAAACACCAGTCCTGCCGAGCTCCCATGGGAACACGCACATTATTTTGGGAGCTCAGCAGGTCTGCCGAGCTCCCAATAAACCGATTTTGCAGACGGATTGATCACGTGACAACTTGTTCGTTTGGCGCGCCTCCCCAGCACCTTCTCATGAAAGGGGGGATGAGGGACAGCGAGGATTGACCGAACAACTTAGCGACTGCACGGTAGCACCGTCATCCAAGGACTAACGCAATGTTTGCAGCTACTCTCGCGGTGCTATCGCATTAATGCGGACAAAAGTAGTCGCGTGCTGCTCTTATGTTCCGCGTGAGACAGAACACTGGGAGAGGCTTAGCACAAAGCACCCCTGCCTTTACTAACCCTTGGCTTAACGTGAGTGTGGTCCTGCTAGAGGAGAGTTGGAGTAGAAGCGGCGGAGTGCTGGGGCTTGGGAAGAGGTGTTTGCCCCCGTGCCCACACGCTTGCGCGCGACGCTTCAGCACCGCAGGCGCAAAGGGGTCTTGCCCAACCTCGTTGGGTTTTGCCGGATGAGAGGCCGGATGGATGTGTGGGACGGGGCAAAGCATGGTAGGCGAGTTTTGAAACAAGCTTCTCGACCGAGATCTGGAGGAGTACCAGATCCTGCAGTGCGTCAGCTGAGAATAGTTCCTCCAGCTCTCTTCACGCATGGAACCGAGACTCGCACGAAGAAACGAGGCGGCAAACGGATGGAACGAACAAAAGGAAACAATGTGCCAACTTTAATTTGCTTGTCAAAAAAAAAAAGGTGTGGTGTTGCCAGACAAATTACTTTTTGAGTCGACCTCCACCAAAAATTTGTGAAAAGCGCGGACCTAGCACCTTTTCACTCATGGATAATTTCATTTCAAATGTGTTTACTGTAAAGTTCCAAAAGAATGCCTCCCAAAATGAAGAGATAAATAGTGATAAAACGTGGGGTGGGCTATCTTTAGGGGTGCCACAGTAAAACTTTATCTAAAATTAATTATTAATACCGTGGCACCCGCTACAAACCACGTGACGCAGGAAAGGATACCACAGGTCACGGACACCGCAAAGTAGTGTTTCACGATGTGATAAACACGCGGGAATTCGCTAAAAACTCCTATGTCATGGGAAGGCTATCGCAGGTTGCAGACGCAGCAGATTCGTGTTTCACAGTGCGAAGGACCCGCAGAAACCTGCCTAGAACTCGCATTTCACGGGAACGAATAACTCAAATCGCGGACGCAGCAGATTAAAGTTTCTTGGCGCATTAAACATGCGGGAAACTGCTGCAATCTTGCCGGTCTTGGGAACCAATATAGCACGTGCATATCGCAGACAAAAACGCAGGATTCCACAACAAACGCCTATGTTACGCGAACAAATACCGCAGGTCACGAAGACACCAGAATCTTATTTCACGATGCAACATACATGCAGGACCAACTCGCGTGGAATCGAGGTCGCGCGCGTAGATTGCAGACAAAAACGCAAGAACCTGCCATAAACTCGCTTCACAGACGTGCCGGTAGTGCGAATTATGCGGCTGAGGCGATTTCCGTCGGACATGTTACAGATATGGAGCCAGAAGAAAAGGGATGGGCAATCTCTCAAAAGCAAGCATTCTCTCAAAACTTCACAAAAAATCAACACGAAGATGGTGCATTTTTGTGCTTTGTTCTGTTTTTGTTGCGTGTGCTGGTCTGTGTTGTCGAGGGGTTCTTGGTTCCACAAGTGAGACAAGGTGCAAGAACTTCGCCCGGCTGATGCGCTGCCATCTCTCCTGCCCATACACTACTCCTCTGGGTCCGTGTAAAGAAGCTTCCGTCAAAACTCGTCTAGCATGCTGCCATCTCTCCTGCACATACACTACAGCCTGGCATCCTGCAAGACCTCTTTTGTGGCTTTTGTGTACCAACATGTCGTGCAGTCGCGCGGGGGACGAACCGATGAGAACATTGGCAAACGTCCCTCTGCAAGCCCAGGACTCCGCTGCTCGCCCATGTCTCAGTCAGCCAAAGAAAGTGCCAGGTGGAAATTACGGGCTTCTTCTGAACATATTCAAGTTCACACTGACGAATGTTTACATGCTTTTTCTGATCGTACTTGAGATCACACCCACAAACGTGTACAGTAGGTTCATTTCACTTTACACCCGTGAGTGTTTGCAAACTTCTTCTGAGCCAATATTAGTTCACACCCAGAATTTATTAAAATAAATTGTTTCGTAACGGTTTCTATCTCTCTCATCTCTAGTGCCGCTTGAATGGCGTTCTCGTTCCTTACATTTTCTCGGATCGTATGTTTCGTATCCCCAGTCCTCTGAAAAACGTATCAACAAGGTTTTACTATATGTCAGGAACTGAATTTGATTTTGGTTGTTATTTGCTTCACTCAAACTGATCATATTTCTTTATGTGGAGGGCCTAATATTGGACCTTTTAAGAAGGGATCAGTTGTTTGATAATTTTTTGGAGTTTTTTTTATGAAAAAGAAGTGAAATTTGCTATCCAGACAAAGTTAGTTCCTCACTCAGATTATTGCAGAAAATGAATTGTTAAGGACTATGATGTTACACAACTATCAGTGTGGAGCTCACGTCGCCATGCAGCATCGCGGAAGAGTGACATTTTTGTCGCAGGACGTGCGTTGTGCGGAAAAGTTTTTTCTAAAATTGTTTTCTTGTGCGGATACCACCTAAAGTGAAACTAAACTCCCCGAAACATTTTCTTAAGTTTCCGGGGATGGTACACATGTAACCGACAGCCCGCAAGGCAGTTTTTATGCAGCACTACACTTGAAAAACATTGCCGCACAGACTCGAGGACCATGAGGCAGTTTTGACCTCAAACGGGGTTAGACGGAACACTTCCAGTTGGCATTGTCCGGCATCACCATCCTTCGGCAGAGAACGCCTTCTCTTCCGTTTGCCTTTGCTTCGCCTGCCCCCCTCGTGGCTTGCCATCTGGTCCCCTGCGTGTCGGCTTTGTGACGACTCTGCCCGCCCCTGCAAAAGGTTGCCGACCCCTGACCTATGTGGTCCTACATAGTTTGTGTTAGAAAGATATGAAAAAAAACAATATCTTGCTTTATGCTTTTTAAAAACTTACAATTTTGAAGTCAGAATTCAAAATAAAGATGCACTTTGAGCTGTATTTGCTCGAAGAAGATATCTGCGAAAGGACGTGCAGGACGTCAGCAGCTCCCCACTTAAGGCGAGACACTGGTTCTAAAATGGACTATTTTATTTTTGCAGCTATACTAATGAAAATCACTGTGCATATGTGTTCCTTCTTCCTCAATTCAAATATGAAATCAGTTTCAAATTATCTCAATTAGTTTTCAAGTTATAAAAAATAGTGTTGCCTAATTTGGTTAATTTCTTACGGGTCGTTAAGGCCATTTCGAACAAAAAATATTTTTTTTTATTGATGTAGATGCATAGCTAAAGGTCTGCCATGCATTATAAAGCTATTTATATTTTCACAAAATTACATTATAATACAAAAATGTACTAATTATGCTAATTATGACACTAATGAGGTCGCATTATTTATCATAAAATTTTCGTTGTCATTATAAACTGCAAAAAAATAGCTTTACTCCATAGTCCAGTCCTTTCTGAATAAAACGGTATAAGAAGTTTCAAAATGCTACGATAAAAACCTCATGAAAACCCCCGTAAGGCTAAGCACGTTGACAAAAAACATGAAGATGAGAAAATCAAAGTTAAAGTTTTGACATTGAACATAGAAAATTGTGTGAACAATGATAAATAATAATTGCTACCAAGGTGTAGTGTAAGTCTTCATGAACAACTTGACATAAAAGATGATGTAATCCATTTATGGGAACATTAGGAAAAAAATATGAAAGAAGTAAAGAATGAGTGAAATGTTGATAAAATCACATTTTCCTGTTTCGACGCTGAGTACAATAAATTATGTGAAAACCCTTATGCAATAATAGTTATCAAGATGTAGTGTAGTGCATTCTGAACAAATAATTTAAAAAATTGCAATAATTTGTTTTTGAGAAGATTGCAAAAATGGTGAAGAATTACTGATATAGGCTAAAAATTGCTTCTAAAGTGATGAGCCGACAACTTTGGACAACGGGAGAGGCGAGCATGAGTTTCAAGCTCCAAACGTAATTTTGTTTGGCCCTGAAAAGGGCCTTTGTTCCACATGGCACTGGAAAAAGCCATTACAGCTGTCCTGGGCTGTAATCTCGTGATGCTCCTGCCTGGTGTCGCTTGGAGAACCTTTCCTTCACGCTACTGCTGCTCTGGTGCACCGCGTTTGCTTTACGTAAACGGAGACTGTCCTTTTCAATGCTTCGGCGGACAAGGCAGTCACCGGTGGCGTAGCCCAGGCCTGCAGCAATGGACTCGTTGGTCGCTCTCCTTCCCTGGTTGTAGACAGCAACAGCTTCAGCCGCAGCCCTCTTCACGCTGTCCAGGGAGGCATTCGCATTCTTTGAAGTCTGCGTCCAGATCACCGAATGCAGGCTCTCACTGGCATTCTGCGTCTTTCCCTCACTACACCGTGCCAACAGGTCTTCATTGCTGAGCCTTTCAAACACTGGCTCCAGTGCAGCCCGAACACAATCCGGAAGAGGATTCTTGTGCGGTGGCGGAGGCTCACTGTTTGCCAAGGCCCTGTTGTACTTGCACCAGGACTCCGCTCCCTCGGGGCACTTGCTGTGGTCTGGGGCGCCGTCTGTGGAGGTCATGTGCAGGAGTGTGGCTTCCACCGCCCTCTTCATCCCTGGAACGTCATGGCTGTTGCTCCTGAGAGCATAGCCGTAATAGTTAGTGATCTTCTTGATCTTTTCCTGAGTCAGCTTTCCTCTCCCACCAAGTGACTCGCCTTGTGCCTTCTTCTTCTCAACAACGTTGCGCAAGGCAGCTCCCATCCGCTTGTGGACGTGGTTCACGCAGTCCTTCTTCTCTATCTTGATGAAGCCGTAAACCTTCGCTTCAGACAAGGCATGGAATGTCCGGCTGTCCCCATCCGAAAGGACGGTGGTGTAGCGGAGACCATGCTTGGTCAGAAACCTCTGGAACATTGTGAGCGCAGCCTCCACCTCCATACGGCCAGCATTGCAGTCAATGTTCCTCTGGCAGTCGTGGGTTGCGTACCAGTCGCTGTAGCCATCGTCCTCGGGCTCCGGTCCCAAGGCACATCCAAGGCAGAAGTTGGAGTACACAACATGGTCGATGACGAGGCCAGAGTACAACTCCACAATGCAGCCTACACCAATGTGGGAGCTGCGTCCTCGGGTCATCCATGATCCGTCGAAGATGACATCGATGTTGCCAATGGGGTTCATAAAGCCTTTGTAGAGCCCCTTGACGACAGCAACACTGGCGGCTTCACTGTCGGTTGCTGCATTCTCACATGCCCGCACAAGCGTTTTCAGGTGTCCCTGGTACGTCTTGTGGTGCAGGCCCCGATGAGAAATGTTCATGGAGGCACAGAAGTCTGCCAAGGCTGTCACTCCTTTGCCAATGGACTGGATCCCCTTCATGGCCCTCATGTTCACTTCAAAGGGAGTGATCTTTGCTGTTCCAGCAACCCTGGGAGAGGAGAACTGCTTCTTCTGGAAGTCGCAAGTGCTGCAGACGAGCACAAGCTTGACGGCCAAGCCGTACTCCTTGTCCGCGGCCTTGCTGAGCGTGAGAGATCCCACACCGCAGCTTCCACACCTCGCGTGCGCGAAGAGGTCGTTGAGGACTTTCATGTCGACGATGACAAACTGGGTCCCGGCATCGCTTGTTTGGCATGATCCGTTGACTTCAAGCAGATCGAACTTCCGCTGGGTCGCCGACTTCTCCGATAAAACGCGCTTGCTTTGCTCCGATCGCTCGGCGCGCTGCGCTTGCTCGGCCGTAGAGTAGTAGGTAGAGTCGACGCGAGTGGTGCCGGCAAACCTTGAGCCATCCGGACCAGAGCTTGAGGCCGCAGCATCGTCAACGGGAAGGCTAGCCGATGGTCCCGGCAGATCCAATGCGTTCGGCAGTGGCGCAGATCGTAGCGGCGCACTTGCAGGTGATGTCTTCCGCTTGTTCCACGCACGTCGCGTCTTCCTCCCGAACGTCCGCCGCGTACTCTCTTTCAATCGAGAGTCCCCCGGCATCTCGATCGCTCGAAATAAAACTCCCGCAACTTCGTAGCGAGAAACCAACGATGTCCGACGCGAGCGCGCGAACGTAAACGATTTCGAAACAACGTGCACTCAGCCGCGGAACAAACAAAGCGACGGGCCAAAACGAAGCAGACGACGCTTCTCCACGCTCCCCTTGCGCTCCTGGAGGCGCGCGCGCCAAGAGGAGGAAAGGAGCAAAAGTGGAAAGGGGCGCGTCTTGGCCTATGACAGGCGCGCGCGGCACGACGTACCCGTGACGTACGCGCGCGGGCCAATGAGCAATCGTTATTCCGGTCGTGAAAACCCGCGGAATGCGGACGCTCTCCAAGGTTGTCGCGATAGTGAGTGGGATGAGGACGTAGGGAAGAGAACCAGCTCTCCAACAAGACCAAGATGGCCGCGATCCGACGATCGGTCGTGAAGCGACGCGGGCGCGCAGTTTGACTATTTTTTTGCGTTGGATTCGCGATTTGAGCGTCGCGGAGGCATCGTATTTATCGTTTTTTTTTATACTTAGACGTCGAATAGGACATTGAAACTTCGCAGGCAGGTACTTCAGACTATATTCTATCCAAACATGTGATTTTTGAAAAACCCCAAATTTCGCGATTTTTTACCATTTTAAGACCCGGATGAAGTTGGAGAATGGGAGGAATGCCGGTGCTAGCGGTCGAATTTGGCGGTTTGTATTCTTGGCACCACCGGAGACAGGCCTGGCTGCCTCTACACTCGGCGTTGACACCGCAGCTTTTAAAGATGGGCAAACCGGTCTGCCGCCAAACCGGGATCGTGCGGACCACCCGACCACTTGCGCAGAGCTGATGTCGTTACGCCGTACGCGGAAGAGTGACACTTTTGTCGCACAATGCACATTCTGAAGAAAAGTTTTTCGGATTTCTCTCCCTCATGCAGATACCACCTTAAGTGACACTGAACTCCCAAGAACATATTTTAAGGTGCCTGAGATAGGACCCATGTGTCACAAAAATTGACTTTCCCTAAAGCAAAAAATTACCGCATCTCCACGTGGTGAATGATGTTGATTGGGGCAAAGGTCTGGTGGAGCTTGTCTGCGTAGACGCTGAGCCGCAGCATGCCGAGCCTTTCGTTCGTTTTCATCCATGTCGGAAGGAGAATGTGTGGTATGGAATGTCGTTATATATGCATTTGAGCATTTGACTGCAGGGCCCTCTCGTCTATAAACGTTGAGCCAATGCATGCAGAGTTTAACGCGGTTATATGCGCATTTGACCGCAGTGCCATCTCCTGTATAGATGTTGAGCGGCTACATGCAGCCAAGTGGTTAAGGCGATGGACTAGAAATCCATTGGGGTCTCCCCGCACAGGTTCGAATCCTGTCAACTACACAAACATTTTTTTTTTTTTTTTGCTTTACACGAGCACGTGAGATCACGAGCACGAGCACCAGCAAGGTCGATGTAAGCACAGACGCCGGACGGACAAGGCTAGACCCTAAGGAGCTTTGCCCCTGAAAAAAGTTTTGGCAGAGTAGCCTTAGGCATGTTTTGGGTTGGGAACGATTCTGAAATGCGCTTCTATTTTAGATGACAACCCTGAAATCGAAGTATGGTTGGGGACCGTTCAAACGAGTTTCGCAGCTTGAATATTGCGTTTCAAATATGTTTCTTCGAGGTAATGTATCTTCTATCCAAGCATTTCAATTTTGAATGCCAAAGCATTAAAAAGGCACTGACACATCAAAATCTTTTTTTTTTTATTATTATTATCTGAAATGATTGAAAACGATGCCGGGACATTACCTTCAAAATTCGAAATTTGGGAATTCAGTATTTGTGAAGTAAAAAGCTATTTCCAAACGCCGAATTTGAAGTTTCCGCGCGATCCATGCCTGTGGGTTGACGTCAAATATTGCAGAGTCCTGAAAGTCGACTTTGTTTCGCGACTCCGTGCTGTTGCCACCGCGACTTCATGCGAGGAGGAAAGGAGCGGGAGATGAGGGTGCCGGCGGACCGAGAAAAAACGGTTTTATTCGGCAGGTGGCATGTTTTCCAAGGGAGGATACAGTTCCAGGAGGTGACATCACACCGGACTCCGATTTTCGGTATTTCAAAAAGAAGGGTTGTAGTGCGTTCGCCAATGCATTAAAAAACATGTTTTACGATTGCCGTTATTAAATGTTATAGAAATGTTGCCGACAAAGCTGCTAAATTTCATGATCTTTGATGTCATGAATCAAAAGAAGCGAGGAGGTGAAGAGCGAGAAAAGAAAGCGCCAAAAATAAAAAGGGGCGCGCGCGCGCGCAAAGAAGTTTATGCGTTTTTTTTTTGTTTATTTTTCTATGTTTGAGTACAACTTGCATCGTTTCAGACAATAAAAAAAAATACAACCCTCAAGGTGTCAGTGCCCTTTCAGCTGTCCCATGGAGCAAATCGGCACTCTCTGCTTTTTGAAGCCGCGCCCAACGGCACCTAAATTCCCTGTCCCGTGGAGCGAAGCCTGTAGTCTGCAGCATGAATTTGCTGGATAAATTCCCGTGGCTCGCACTCGGCCGCTGCTCTCGTGTCACACGTTGCCGGGGCTGCGGCCGCTTCAGCTCTTTTGGCGCCAAGGAACATGGCGGTGTCTCTATATCGTCGGTGACCGCAACCTTGGCAGTAGTGGAACATGACCGTTCATGGCAGTGCACTGCAGAGAAACTAAAGGAGTGGAAGAAGGACATTCATGCTTTCGCATTCACAACTCGTGAGAAGTGCTTAGGTGTCCTCTTTTCTTTCTTGTTTTTAAGTTTAATTAATTTTTTTTTCTGTACCATTTCTCACTCTCCGTCTTTTCAGGAGTCGCTGGCAGGTGGCATCTGGCAACAACAGCAACAGTGGCCAGGGAGACGCCTTTGCCGGGTGAGAGAAAGAGAGCCGACTTACCCGTCCCGGCCCAATTACTCCTTTTCACGAGATTTCTTACGGCACTCCTTTAGCTAGGGATGTGCAGTCGGATTGTTTCGCAGAGGCTAGATTGTTAGGACCTTTCTATGTTTCATCCGGATTCAATCATCCTTATAAAGTAGACGTGCCAATATGCAATACTAACTCATTCCATTGGCCATTCTTTCCTAAGGCCTCCCTAGACTGGAGCCAGTTTGCCTACTTCCGTCGCCACATCCAGGTCGATCACTCGTTGAAAGCGGCTGTTACTAATATATTGCACAGTGCCATACTTTGTGCGTTATATTTGTAATTACGTGTATATAATCTTATTCTTTGTATGTCCCACTGCCCTCCGCAGTTCTCTCGACTCTGCAGGTATTGAAATAAATGAATAAATATGGTACTTTAGTCATTCAGTTTGAGAAAACTTTGCTTAGCACTTTCTGCAGTCTTCCAGCTGCAGCGAGTTGTTTGGAGAAGTGATGAATAGGCCAGTTGCAGTAATGTGTTCACTTTTCGTATCTGACACCGCCGAGCAATCGCTGCGGTGGTCGCAGCTTTCAGGACAGGATCTGTTGGCGGATTACGGGGTCTTGCGGTTGGGGGTTTTGTAAGGGTGGGCAGTCTCCATCTTTTACGAAAGCAATAATTTAGCCAAAAAAGTGGAGTGGGCCTCGTCTTGACAACAAGCAAAGATTTGAGACATTACGTTAGTCCCTACTGTCCTTGTTTTTTTTTTTTTTTTTTTTTTTTTTTTTTTAAGGGTGTTTTTTGAATTTGGGTATTTTTCACGAAACTCGGTAGAAGTCTACCTGCTTTTTTCGTGCACCTTTCACTAAATGTTGATCCCTCTGTAGGTTTTTAGGGTTACATCTGTTTCTTACTCATAAGGTAGAGGTTGTGACCATATAAATTTATGAGTTGATAGAGTCTTGAACATCGTTGAATTACTCTTTATAGCCATGTTTTTACTGTTATACACATATCTTATATTCAATTTTGACACTCAAAGTTACCTTTGTGTTCTTTGCACACCAGGAGCTTAGCCCCCCCCCCCCCCCCCCCCAATTCGACCCTCTTTCCGCAAAATATTTGTGGCTATGCCACTGCAGCGCACTACATTTGAAAGTTTTATTGCTCATGCGTCCCTATTCTTTGTAATGTTACCTTTGTGCGAGCTTAACAGCGCTCTTTCTTGGGTGACGGAGACACATCTTGCTTTTTCTCTGCAGTTCCGGCGATGAAGATGAGCCCCCAGAAATCAAGGCGGAGAGAGAAAAGGAGAGGAGACAGGCGAACAATGCACGCGAAAGGTGGGTGCTCAGTTGCTACATGCCCCGATCACCTTTCATGGCAGGAAAGAAAGGGGCACTCAAGGGGATTCTGAGACTGTCTATTTATTGTCATAACTCAGTCTACGGGCTCTAAGCATCCTAAAAAACCCAAAATCACATTCAACTGTAGTCAATTTCCCAATTAAAATCCCAATCAAAGATCATGCCATGCCCCTCTTTCTGCGTTGTGGCGCAGAACAACAGGGGGCGCTACCGGACGGAAATGCAGCAGGGGAGGGCCCTTGACAGCCAATCACGAGTGGGGGTTTCTCGGCAAATTGATTTTTTGAAGGCGCGCGTATGAGAAAATTTAGTCCGCCGGGAAGCCGTCACTTGTGATTGGCTGTCGCGTGCCCTCCCCTGCTGCCTTCCCGTTTGGTGATGCAGAAAGGGAGCGTGGTGCGATCTTTGATTGGATTTTTAATAGGCAAATTGGCCAGCATTGAATGTAATTTCGGGATTTTTAAGATTCTTCAAGCCCATAGGTTGAGTTATGACGTTAAATAGGCAATCTCAGAATCCACTTGAGTGCCTCTTTCAGGTCAAGCGGATGTGACCATAGAGATGGGGGCATGACATAAGTTTGCAAGATTCTGGTGGAAAGACATGTTGCAGAATTGAACGGACTCAAACAAAGGCATTTGAGAACGCTGCGCTGTTACGGGGCTTTTCCGAATTTGTTGTAATGATCCGAACCTCGGTCATAAAAGGAACTTGCACTAGGATGGGCGTGGCACATGGCAGTATAAACTACGAATTTTGCCGATGGGGTGGATGCCAGGATTTTTGGAGTTGTTGGAGTCAATCACGAAGTTGCGCCCCTCTTCTCGCATAACCTTCCGAAAATGCTCCAAAATTTGGTTCTTAGTGCATCGTAATGGGCAAATGTATGGAGATCGGTGGAACGTCTAGCAAAACAGTCTGTCGAAAATAGTAGGCAGCTTGTATTCTTTCCACAACTCTCTTCACTCAGAGCTGTTGGATTGATAACACTTCGAAAAAAAAAAAAGTTTAAATGAAGGCTGTGCTCAATTGAACTTTTGTAGCATCAGTTGAGGTCCTCCCTAAGCTAAAGGGAGTATTGTAAGCGCCAGAAAGATTGTACATCGTTGTTTTACAGCGATAGTTGTCGTGGGGTCTTCCCACCGCTGGATTGACGTCCGTTATTGATGTTGTAGTTGGTCGATGCAAGGCGTCTGTCGTCAGTGTTGCCAAATCCTTCAAAAAGATCGCCCGCTGCCCTGGGGTATCGAACTTGTGTCCACCAGGTGCAAAGCGGAGGCGTTGCCACAGAGCTACGGAACGGCATTAATACCCATACTAAAGTTTTTGCAGTACCCAATGCCCACTGCACGCTCTCTCTAAAAAAAATAAATAAATAAATAAAATAAAAAAAGCCAATAACAAATTGGTATTATGGCACAGTCAACGGTAAGAGCTCGTGCCAAGAGATGGTGCTTTCACACGCTTTCGGACAAAAAGAAAGAAAAGCATTCGGAACAAAATGGTCAGATGTCTGTTTTGTTTCGAACGCTTTCATTCACACACCCCACGGTGCGGGAACACGACGCCGATGCTTAATGACTTCGCCGTGACTGCACCATGGGCTAACTCGGGGCTGCTCTATTTTTTTGGTAACCTCGCCCCCGTTTTGCCTCGTGGGCCCGGCCCCCCCCCCCCACGTAGCTGGATAAAAAATGTTGTCCTCCTCCCGGCCTCGCAGGATACGCGTGCGGGACATAAACGAGGCGTTCAAGGAGCTGGGCCGAATGTGCATGATGCACCTGAAGACGGACAAGGCCCAGACCAAGCTGAATATCCTCCATCAAGCGGTGGAGGTCATTACCAGCCTGGAGCAGCAAGTCAGGGGTATGTGCTGCGCTGCAAAGGCGCGCCTCGCTCCTCTCTGGGTCTGCCCGGCGGTTCCTTTGATTTGTGACTGCCTCGTCTTTGTTTTAACGTGGAATGTGCGTCATGGGTCGCTCTCTACGAGAAAATTGTCGTGGACGAGCGTCGGGAATGGCGGACATGCTGGAAGTGTTGCTCGACATTAAGGTCGTGCATAAAGCTTATGAAGCCCCACATAAAATCGACGTAAGAAAGACGCCTTGCCCCGGCAGTGCTCGAACCTGCGTCAGTGCAGTAGCAGTCGGTTACTGTAGCCCTCAAGCTACGAGCACAACTGCCCTGGAGAGCTAAATAAATTTCTTCAAAAGCCAACGTGCCTGTGAGAGCAGCTCGTTTTGGATGAAGGGAATAAAATAAATAAATGAAAATATATAAGAAAAATAATAAGTATGAGATGGAAAGTTAAAATAAAAAGAATGCAAAATTTACCGCAAACCACGCACAAATTGTGGAATGTGCGAGATTGTAAGTTTTGCTGCCATCTTACCTTCGCCGCATTGTAAGGACATCGGTTCTGAGGTCGAAGACTATGGAGGCATTCTCACCTTAGAAGTCTCGCTAAAAATGTTTGACTCGCATGCATTGAAGAATTATAGAAGACAGCGACAACTACAAAACTGAACCTGATCTGCACTTTTCCAGCCGTTGCATTCTCGGACACTGGTCAGGTCTAAATAGGTGTAGGATTTATGCATTAACCTGGTGCTATTTTCATTTTAAGAATTTGGTCTTGCCGGTACTTATGTAACAAAAATGAGCCCAGTTTTAAAGAACAAGAATATGTGCAAACATAGTGGGCTTGTTCGATTTGCCTGCACCAGCTGCGCTCGGCGCATGTCGCCGTATTCGGTAGGTGAGCGCAGCCTATCTGAAAACACAAACAGAAGTACATTGCATTTCCTGCACCAGTGCAGGCTGGTACAGGGAAATAGAATGAGCCCAATGTCTAAATTAATTATCGCAAGGCCGCCAAAAATTGTCACTTGGTTCAAGTGCAGGCAATAACATTATGCCACAGCGCGGAAGCTAGTGAGGGCGGTGGAAACAACAAAAACATAGCTGCGCTAACAAAAAAAAAAAAGATTTTTTTTTTTTTTGGCGAAGTTATTTTGGTTGTTGGAAGAAGAAACCAGTTCAATGAGCAACCTCGTGGTTCACAGTAGTTTAGGTTCCGTGTTCTGTTAAAGACGAGCGAATAATAAATGGTTCGAGCACTGCTTGCAATTTTACAAAAGTAGACGGGTGTCATGTTGGGGATGCGCTTCTATAACAACTGCAAGATCCAAGCACCAGGCTTAGTGCATTGAACAACCCCGACATGCACATGTGCCTACAGCAATTTAGGCCATGGTTTATTAGATTTCTTTGGAGGATGCCTTTGGAGGTGGGCTCCTTCAATTTTTTGTGCAGCAACCCTTAATAGAAAACAATGCTCTAAAAGTGTACCAATTTCATGCTCTTATGAAAAAAAAAAAAAAATGAAAGACGTTTACAATCCCCTGTAACGCCAAATTAGAGCGCAGTTTTTGAGGAGGAGGAGGGAAGGGTACTGAAGGGAGAAGGTGGGAAGTCCTCCAGTACTAACATGGGTGTGGATCGACGTGTGCTTAACGCAAGTCGCAGAAAACGCACATCTTTGGTGAGGGCATCGTGTGTAAATTTGGCGAAAATTTAGCGGGGCGATTACGCGCAGGCATTGTTCATAAAGAGGTCGACCTGTTCTCAGATAAATACAGTAAGTGTGCTTAGTTCTCATAAAAGTTCTCAAACTGGTATATTTTTATTAGAGCATTCCTTTTTACCGTAGAACGTTGGCCGTTTCTGGTCTCAAAATGCCTGGAACGGTAGTGCCTGGTTGAAGCAGGGAGCGTGGGGAGAGATGCTTGAACCGCCTGCCCGTGCTCCCCTTGCAGAGCGCAACTTGAATCCCAAGACGGCATGCCTGAAGAGGCGTGAGGAAGAGAAGAGTGAGGAGGGCCCCAAGCTGGGGGCCCACGGCCTGCCCCCCCACCAGGGCCCCGGGGGACCCCTGGACGCCCTGGCACACCCCAGGCTGGCCTCTCTGCCTGTGAGTAGCCTCCCAAGTACACCCTCCCCTCTCCAGGCCAGGCAGAGGCGCGAGAAGACCCGACAGGCCTTTCCAGTCAACCACGCGCCGCACGGGGCGTTGAGGGGCCGTTGCAACAAGCGCTCGGGCCAGCGCGTATGCTCCACGCGTCCTGGAAGTGGCTCGGTTCCTTCCCTTACACCTGCGAGTTCAGAAAACGTGAAAAACAGAGCGAAGGAATCACAAAGCCTACGTGTAATGTGTTGTCGTCCTTTTTTCTTTTACGTGCTGAAAGTGCGCAACGCTCAACAAGCACTATCTTTCCTTCTACTCGTGGGTACTACTTCGCACGCCTTACGTCGGATTGCCATAGTATGTTGAAAGGACGATGGGGAGCGATTGGTATTTCTGGAATGGTCTACTGAAAGCGGTCGAGTTGCTTCGGCTGTTACAGTTTCGAAAGCACGGCAGAAGCTGCAAGAGCAAGCTCCGAGCATTCGGTGTCCCTGCCAAGCACGCATGTGCTTGTGCAGTGTAGGCATTGTTCGGAGGAATATGCTTGTGCTTGTAGCTTTGCCCTCGTTCGCTCACAGGCTGTGCATTCTTGTTGACCTCAAGAAATGTAGTGAACAGGTTTGGCTCTGCGGCTTACTAATGTCCCCCCACTTGCGGTGAATTGAGGTAGTGGTGTGTTCATTTAACGATACTTGTTGTTTTGTTAAAATGCGCGTGTTCTGAGTGCAAATGGTTTCACTTTTTTTCTTGGACAGCCACTCGTAAAAACTGCGTCATAGAGTTTAGTTACCATACTTAGAAAAAAGTCTCCGCAGTAGCCCCCACAGGTAGTGCCACAAAAGCAAGTGGCGCGACTTGCTTGGTAACCTTCGATAAAGAGTACCTCATTGGAACTCGTCCGTCCTTGGTGGCCGCTGCGTAACTTCGGCCGTGGAGGTTGAGTCAACTATCGCTGGCTCTGCGGCCATTGCGACGAGTTGCGCAGCTAGGACGTCCGACGGAGGCACGCTGGATTCTCTTCGGCTAGAGGTAGTCGATATAAGAGATAACTATACTCTGTCTCATCCTACGATGGACTAAAGCCCAATGCTACGGTCCGCCGGGTCCAATCACAAACCTGTTAGAGACCACGTGGCATTTTGCTCCGTCGTACGTATCGGTGCGCCAGTACACGTCGTGTGGAGGCGAGTTTTTCGTCTGCTTATCGAGCCCTCCCAAACGCTCCGTCTGCTTTCTACTGCTGAAGTTTACTGAAGGGATTAAATACCGTCTAGAAGCGACGGGCCAAGAGAACCCGAGATCAGAACCAGTGGCCATCAAGAAATGAAGATGAGTCGCATAGAGTGTTTGACACAGGAGCGTATCTACAAACCACGTGCAGAAGTGAGATGCAGGTTTGGGTATGTTTTACATGCACAAAAGTTAAATTGGATTGGATTGTTATGGCTAAGGCGAAGCGACTTTATGTCAGTGTTGCCTGCGCGCCGTCCAACTTCTCCAAACAGTTGACCTGTTTACGAAATATGGCAAGAATGTTAATGGGACTAAATACCGTGCACCTTTAGTTCACCAATATAAAATAGAGCACTATTTTACAGAGAACCATACGCATTAGATTAGTGCTCATCGTAGTCTGCGTATCGGAATTTCTCTTGCACTCTTTCGCAATGCGGATGCAAGCTTTTCTGAGGGAGTGATCAGCCCTCCAGCCTTCGGGTCCTAGTCCATCGTAAGGTGAGACAAAGTATAGACACCTTCGTGTGTAAGAGTGAGCATTCTAAACAAAGTTCTTGGACTGCGGCAATTGTCCCTCGCCTGGGAGACCTCGCAGTTTTCCGTTTTCCAATCCTCTTTGGTTCAGTCTCAAATCCTTAACTCGTTATTTCCAGTGGACCGAATTTCCCACAGCCATGGACGGAGAGACGAGCAACTCTGAGATGTGAACTTCAAAAAGAGTTAAACAGGCAAGTCAGTTTCTTGCACCATTGATGAGCCATTGACGCTCGCGCGCTCGTTTCCCACGTCGCTTCGCATAAATGTGCCGTGCTGCGCAGAGCGCGTCCTTGACCAGCGTGTTTAGCGTCTGTCCCACCCACGCATCAAAAGTGGCGCCCAAGTGTCAACAAATGACGTCGCAGAAGCCGGAATGTCCCGCTCTCGGATGTCGCAATCCTGGTGGTTAGTTGTAGAAATGCCGGCGAAAAGCACGAGCGAGCGTCGCCGTCTCCACGGCGTCCTAACTGGTGGCTGTCGAAGCTCCCGGTAACTGCCGCACTTAAAGGCGACCTGCAGTAGAACAGGCGTCTGCAACATACGCTACCGCTGCTGGGACGCCTCCAGGATCGCAGTCAGCGACAACCTGACACTTCTGCAACATCATCGGGTGGAAATCGAGGAACCACTTTTTAGAACGTGGTGATCACACCAGTCGGGCGTTCCAGGAACCGTACTTGGCCCACACCAGCCCATTACCTCAAGTTGACTTTTATCAAAGATGAAATTCAAATAACATTGTTTATTCGTTTGCCTTTTTTTCTTAATATTTTACGTGAAACATTCTTTGACTAGGTGTTCTTCTTTTCGTGAAGACCGCATAAAAGCATGGCCACAAGGCCCGACTGATTGATTAACAGGGAGGTTACGTGACCAGGGGTGAAATGAGGATGGGAGGTGGGGTGGGTCAGAAGGTTCCCGAAGATCACTGGACTTATTGTTTCAAGCGTATACGTGCCATGCATTGAATTATCCGATGAAGAGCGCCTTGAACGTAGGCGCCTGGCTGAACGGGCCAGACGTGCTGCTGAACGATAATATAAACGTTTGCAATGCTAGGACGTTTCACTTATGCAACACAGTTGCATAGCAATTTGCCTTATATTTTAGAGCGCAGCTCTTAGGCGCCCGTTTCCGGCTTGAGCGGCGTCGGCGTAATTGCACGGTGCATTATGGTGCGCGCAACGTCGCTGATGGCGTCACTGATGACGTCATCTGATACGTCATCGGCATCGTCATCGTCATCGTCACGTCACTGATAACGTCATTGGCATCCGCATTGTCACTGATGACGTCATCGGCCTTTGCATCATCATTGTCACTGATGACGATGACATCATCAGTGACATCGCTGATGTCATAGTCACGTGACCTCTAGGGGTCACGTCACATGACCCCCGTGAGGTCGCGTGACCCTCGTGAGGCGACGGCGACGCCGCTCTCAGGGAGGAGTAGCAGACAGGATGAGGAGGCGAGGAGGAGGGAAGAGGGGTATACCTTCCCCTCAGTACCCTTCTCTCCTCCTCAATATCTGCGCTCTAATTCGGCGTTACAGGAAGTTGTAAACGGCTTTCATTATCTTTCTTTTCTTTTTCTGCAGGGTTAATGATGCCCCTTTGCCAACACAAGACAGACTCTTCTTCCAAAGAAGAAAATTCTCTTCCATCTTCAAGTAGACAAGCAGAGCGAAAAAAGGAATTTTACTCTACATCACCAGTTCTTCCCTCGAGCATTTCTACCTTTTTTTTTTTAAACAAGAACTCTCCGAACCCACCAACTGTTTGTGCGCTTTGCCCACTGCGCATTGCGAATGCACGCACACGCCATGGGAGACGTCAACGAAAGAAGATTCCGCGTGTGTGCGTGTGTCGGGTGGGGCTTGCATTTGCATTGCGACATGTATACATACTACCATAACGCATTCATCGGTGCATTTCAGTGTTGCGCGGGCACGGGAGAGAGTACGACGGAATCAGGGGACTCTGCGACGTGTATTTAAGTGGAATGTCTGTCCTGTGCGTGTCATGACTCAGCGCCCTTCCTCGTTTTGGGGGGAGCATTGGGGAGCATTATTGCCCTGTTCTCGGTTCCTCTCCTGGGCAGCAGGCACAAGCTCCAGCGGAGCGGTTTCCTCACTCTTTTTTATCCCCAGTTGGGTCGACGGCTTGTTTGTCTCCACTGTTTTTACTTGGTCTTCGTCCTTGTTTAATTTGTGCTGTTCATTTTTTTCCAAGTTTCCCCCCTTTTCTCGCGGTCAAGAAACATTGCGCGAGTACAGTTTTATTTTTGGGGGGCGTCTGTGTGGCGAGTGTGCGTCTAGAGCGAATGTGTGCGCGAGTGAGGTTATACACATAAAGAAATATATATATATATATATTATACACACACACACACTACACCTTTGGAAAAAAAATGTATAGAATCATCTCTAATTTTTTTTTTCTCTTCATTGTCATTTTATTTGTCAACTGTATAAATTTTTGACGGGAGGCTTTTTTGGGTGTTGGCTTGGCGTTGAAGTGATGGAGAAGCAGTGATTGAACGATGTTTGTGCATTTATCTTTTTTCCGACCGACAACAGCAGCTCTCATTTTTATTGCTCGTGATTTTAATCGGAGCTGTGCTAGGAGGAATCGTGCATTCTATTGTGGGGGTCTTTAATTGGCTTCAAAGGGACAGTAAAGCGATATTTATTTGTAGCCAAATGATGCAGTGTGGCCTAAATTTGCGATGCCTATATTTTTAAGCCGCTATTGAAAACAATATCCTTGGCCCTCTTAGCTGACTGCGGTTACGTCGTGTGTCGAAACCTAGATGAGTTAACTCCCGCATAATCGCTTCTCTGTTTTTGCAGCATGCAAGCGTAGTTAGTTTTTGGTCTCTCTCTGTTGCTTACTAAGGATAGCCTAACTTGAACAGGCAAAAAGTTTTATATAGCATTAACTATTGACCGAAGCCCTGCAGGCATCATTTCATGCACCCCTTCTTAACTTGCCATAATATCTGGAAAGCTATCCCACTCCCATTTTCTGTCCAGTTTGCTGTTCCCAGAAAAACGCAGAAACGTGCCTCCTAGGGGAAATGGTCATTTGTGTTCCGACTAAGGGCAACTGCTTTTTTGACCGCCATTGATCGACAGCAACGGATAAGGAAAGATTTTTCTTTATTTTATGTAACTCGGCTCATTATGCGGTCCAGGGCAGCTGACATAAGCATAAGGTAAAGTAAGGAAATTAAGTCGAGCAATTCTCACAGTTCTCAGGTTTGCAGTACAAAAGTTAGCCCATCTCCCTTTTTCGCCTAATCCGGTGTGCAAGGGCAGGTGAGGTATCCTTAAGGATAAAAATTGGCAGCGACCTTTAAGCGCCGTTCACACATGTGCAACCGAGTAAGACAGAGAGAGACCAGACCGGCTTTAAAGCCTTTTGAGACATCTTAGGACCGGATGCGCTGCAGCGAAGCTGGTCTTAAGACGTCGCAACAGGCTTAAAACCCGCTCTGGTCTCTCTCTGTTTTACCTCGGTTGCATATTGTGAACGGCGCTTTATCTCTGGAGGCCTATAATGCGTGGAATGCCGTATTTATGGAACAATAGTTTAAGTTTGTTTAGAAGGCACTAAGCGGTTGTTTTGGGGAGTGAAGACTGATTGCTTATTATATCTCCACTAAATTCGTGTCACGCGACATCTATTTCTTGGCTAAATTATCACGAAACTGAGCTGGTGTATAGGTCATATGATGTGCCTTTTCCCGTTAAATTGAGCAGGCAACTGAATTGGCGTTTAGTGTACATGACGTCTGTTCCCCTCTAAATTTAATGTGGAAATAGACAAACGGACAAATTTCTGGGATTAGGGGGCTCTGTTAAAAAGCATTCCATGTTTTGGTAGCTTCGAAAGCCAGCTAGGCTTAAACATTATTCGCCTTGCCTCGTATGCTTTCCTAGCTGGTTGGATACCTAAGCCATAGTAAGTTTCTCTTTCTAGTGGTGGCTCTCCCAACTTGATTTCAAAGTGACATTTGTCATGACCACCATATTGTAATGCTTCGATCAAGCTGTGCAGTAGTTTGGCGCTGTTTTAAAAAAGCCTTGGTTTGCAAATTTTAAAAAAAAATTGCTCGAAACTGTTGGCAAAATTTTGTGCATTACCACAATGTGCTTTCAAAGCAACTTTCAGTGGAAGGTTCCTTTACTGTCCTTTTAAGCATGCAATATTAAGGAATTCTTTTTAGTTAGTGTTTAGTTTAGTTGCTGTTAGGGCCCTTGCATGGACAAAAACTGCTCGAATGGGTTTTGTTATCATGATTGCAATTTTTTTTTATCAATTGTTTATTTTTGTGCTAAAATTCAAAATGTTTTTTTTTTTTTATTCCCTTAATGGTGCAGTGGTTTATTTTTACTGCCAGTTCAAAACGGGCAGTTTCGAAATCTTGCGTGAAGCAGCCAAAGCCCTGCACGAAAACTGTGCTCAGTATATTCAGTTGAAGCAAAGAAACCGAAAAGATTGGCCCGTGAAAATGGTTTACATACTTTATGGTGTTCACCACTGACTAAGGTTTTCCAGTTAAGCATTATGCACAGTGGAGATGCCAAAGGAGAGATTAAAATTGTGCGTCGTAACAGGGTTTCTAAACACGAAGGAAACTGCTTGCATGGCAGAGCAGCATTGTACTCCAGTGCAAACGAACATGTGCATTTTTGAAACATGGCAGTATTGATTGACGTTGCATTTTAAGACTGGCAATGCCAAAAGGAGGAGGGTGTGTGCATTCACTGTTCTCCAAGGACTTCCTGTTCTCCCAATCTGTTGCCAACCCTTCCACCACTTTTGACGGAAGGGTTAGACAGTTTTTCTTTTCCGAGGTACTTAATTTTACGGAAAGGTTGTAGTGGTACTTCTCTGTCTGAATGCAGTGCATTTTTATCGAGCAGCAAAGGAGACAGATATGTGCATAAAGGATGATGAACTCTATGAGAGCCCTCTCTGATCGTGTCACTGTTTGTTAATTTGTGATTTAAAAAAAAAGGTGTTCTTTTTGCAGTTACTTGTTGGTGAGTGCACTCCACACGGGCAAATTGAAAAAAAAGCGCTCTTATTTTTTACTTTTCCTTCCGACATGTGCAGCATCTCAACCACCACATGTTAAGACTTCCTCACTGGATGCAATTACGTTTTTAAGTAACTGTGTGTTTTTTTGTTTTTTTTTTTGTGTTGCAGTTGTCTATTTAATGACAAAGGGACATCGAATCACGCGCGTAATCACCAAGCAGCCTGCATTGTCTTTTGAGCTTTGTTTCTTTTCTGTTCCCTCCTCCTCAGTCTTCTCTGTTTCTTGTTTTTACCTATTTGGGGAATGTTCCCCCACTCCCATTATTTTTTTGCCTGTTTTCGTTACTCCCGTTTATTGTTATGCAGGATTTTTCTTTTGAGAAATGCTGTCTTGGCCTCGGTTGCATTGTACCGGCCGAGTTATACATACATATATGCGTGCCGTCTATACACGTCTGGGTGCGTGTGCATTCTTCATTTGTTTCTTTTTTTTTTTCCGTTTTTGTTTTCTTTATGTTGAGTTCTTTTCCTTTGGAAGTGTCCGTTTTTCTTGCTTTGTCCTGAGTTTTCAGGCTGACCATTGCACATACACTTGAGTTGTCCTCTGCTGACGCTTTGTCCAGTCATCCAGAGTAAAGAAAAAGTGCCATTTTTCGTAAAAAAAAAAAAAAAGAGAGTGGCAGCTTGACTTCTTTGTTTCTCCCTCCACCCACCCTACACGGCTTACCGCCCACACAAAAGACGAGGAGCACACACATTAAGTCGGGGCGCAGCCAACGCTTGGAACAGATGGGGCCAATCAGAGACTGCCAAAAGTGTAGCATCACGGCATTTGTCATTGTCATTTCACTTTTCGTCAGCTACAGTCAGCTAAACCAATTGAAGGCACTAAATGTATCATGACCTTGTGCTTTCAATGTGTCTTGACCTTTGACTGCATTCCCACTTAAAGGGGTCATGAAACGCTTTTCCAACTTTTTCCTGTTTAGCTTTCCTCCTCAACTCATAAATCGCGCATTCTACCAAAAAGTTTAAGAAGACGAAAAGAAGGGAGGCCCGTGTTGCCCGGAATCTGGTTTATATGTACCCAGACAGAGCCATTGTCCCCCTAGAAGATTAGCCCGTCGCTCAAAATTCAGACAAATGTTGCTTTCTCCAACCCATTCACCCCGAAGCTGACAGTGCTGTGGAAGCTACATGCTCGTTGGGCCAGCCACACGATCACGCTCCTTCGCGCATACCCAAGCGCAGAGAATGAGGCCAGGTGATGAAACGGAGGCGGCTGATTGGTCCGGCAAGTGCGTAGCTTCCACCACAATGTCAGCTTAGGGGTGAAGGGATTAAGTGAGGTCCGGTTTCGTGTGACGTGCGTTTGGACCCGATGTATCACAGTGAAAAGGTAGAGAGCTTACGAAGGGGAGGAGGTACGAAATAGTCCGCTGTGTATTCAAATTTTCGCACTGAAAGTTGGGCTTTTGACCTTCTACCTTTTTTCTTTTGGCCCATTGAACGATGTGCTATTAGTAAAATCCCAATCTAAAATTATTTATCCCAACACAAAATTCGTTTCATGTGCCCTTTAATGGTGAAACAAAATATAGTTCTGTGCCAGCTCTCATGGGCACCTTCCACTGCGGCATGATGAGCAAAGGCATGTGCTGTAAATTCCCAAAGGCAGTCTTTCTATTTTTTTTTATGAGACAAGTGGGAAGTTGCAATGACTATAAACCTTTCCAAGAAATACTCGGCCCCATGGACCTGGTGCAGATCCTTTTTCGAGCCCAGTCACTAGGTTTGAGACCAGTCTCTAACCGGCATCCCTCCCAACTCTAACAAAGTGGACTGTGATTTCGATAGGTGCAGCCTGCGTACGCACAATTTCAAACACTGTTGGCGGCTACATTCTAGTTTTTTTCCGCTATATTTTGTGAGTCATGGTGCACGTATTTTCCCGAGAACATTGAGAAAGCACTGTACCACATTTAAAAAAAGCAAAAAAAAAATATATTTTTGTTGGGTGCGCCAGAACTAATGCAACTGAAATGTTAGTTGTTGTTTTTCTTTTTTTACTATAAGTTTTGATGGTGCGGCTTCATTAGCCACGTGCCAAACGACAAAGCGCTTAGCTGTTGAAGGTAATTTACAACAGAAGATAGCTGAAAGGCATGCATTTTTCACGCTCGCAAATAACGTGTTTACCGATGGACAGGGCATGGACATACAATTTAGGAAGTGTTAACATACAAACAATACATTATACGTACCACACGGTACATTATCTGTGAATAATTTATTAGGGGCAAAGCTCCTTAGGGTCTAGCCTTGTCTGGCATCCGTGCTCACATCAATTGCACTGCCTACAGGATCGGCCCACTTTAAGAAAAAAAAAAACGTACGCCCGCACGGGGGTTCAAACTCTGGACCACTTGCTTACGAGGCAGGCGCCTTAACCACTACGCTACACTCCTTTTTTTTTTTTCTTTATTGCATGGAAGCACAGACGGTGGGCACATGGGTCATAGTTGCAGTTTTGAAACGAGAACGCACTGAGATTATACAAGCTTATTCAGATACATTTTTACCAACACTTTTACAATTCAGACAAATTTGCATAGCTCTTCAAGTGCGCAGGACTGACCCGACTGTATCAAAAATCAGGAAACAAGAGGCACTTTTCAAGTCCCCAGTACCATCTTGGATTTTCCGGAGTTGATCAAGGACACTTATTGTTGCATGTAGCCGCTCAACGTCTTTACAGGAGAGGGCGCTGCGGTCAAATGCGTATATAATCGCGTTAAACTTTGCATGCATTGGCTCAACCTTTATAGACGAGAGGGCGCTGCGGTCAACTGCATATATAACCACGATCTATACCACACATTCTCTTTCTGACATGGACCTTTGACGTAAAGGGGCCCTGCAACAACTTTTTTACTTTTTTTTAATTTGTACCGAACTTGAGCGCACTGAACGTAGTAACTTAATGAAACTTTTCTCAAATTTCGCTTTATTTTAAAAGTTATAGGCAAATTACAATTACAAAAACAAGCAAAAAATAATGTGCTTCATGACAACGTCGGTCCAGGCTGGAGTGGTTGTGAACTAGAGGAGGGGTAGTGAGCTCATCGAGCGCTCACGGCTGTTGCTCTCCATGTCGACGGCCCAAGAGGGCGCCACTAAAGCATGTTCTGGATAGGCTGTATGAAGCGGGCAGCCAGGGTGGCTCGCATTGCATTTGCTGCGCGATTAAAGACTATTTCAGCATAACACTTCATTGCCCACAAATGACAGCAAACACGGGGTAAAGGTCAGTTCAGAACGGGAGCTACTTTGTGCTGCCATACCGCCAAATGGCCAAATTGCCAGCAGGGCCCGCGTCGAAGGCCTTCGGAACGCTTGGAACCGGTCGGATCCTCGAGCCGGTATACGACCGCAGCGCCACCGCGTACACCCGGGACCTTTCTACGCTCGCCGTTCGTCAGTGCCTCACCCCACTAGCCCTTTCTAGTATGCCCCGATTTTTCCGCCGCATGCTGGCGGGTATGTCGACGGGTCATTTCTTGTTTCCGTACTTAATAAACTGCATTTGTTTCTTTTCTGATCTAAAATACTAAACAAAACTACTTTCATACGTAATTGAAACGGTTCACGACATTTATATTTTGTATCTCAACTAAAAAAAAGCTTTCAGCGGCTCTAACCAGTAGTAAGGCCAGGACCTAAGACGTCGCATATCGCGCGCCCTCGGCAACACGGGTCGCCGTCGTAGGTGGAGGAGGTTTCCGCGTCGTCCGGTTAAAATATGACGCACTGATATTTAGTTACTCTCTCCGTGCCCGCTGGCTTGCCCCAACCTTAAGAGACGTGGAAACCGCAAAATAAGGTAGATAACCCTTTCTGGTCCAGTGACTCCTACAGGAATCATAACGCATCGTAATTTTTTTAGTTGTAAACAGCTAAGCCGAAACCTATACCGTTCCCGACCAATGATTCCTGGAGTATTGGAGTGCTAAACTTGGCCACTAGATGGCGCCACTAGGCGGCCACTCTCGTTCGGTTGCACATCTATTTACATGCTTGCGTTTGCACGAATTTGGGTCCACGTGGAGAACTTTTCGACTTGAGTAAAGCTATACGCACTCCGGAGTGCGCTTCGCGCGGAAATGGCTATACGCACTCCTCCGAGAGATCATGCCGCTCGGGCCACCCTTTTCGAACGGCGCGTGAATCCCTGGGGAGCTCGTTAACACAGCCCCCCGCCTGCGTTCACGCCGCTTTGCGGCGACAGTATCGGCTGCTAATTACAAAGCGTAACCAGTACACGCCGCTTCGCGGCGTCCAGCCGGCAATCCAAGCCCCGCTGTCCCCGATCGCACCTCCGGAAAGGGAGTCCGATACCATTTAGTTCTGCAAAGTTTCTCGACAACATTCAATTTTTTTTTTTTACTATTCATCGCAAAAAAGGAAATGTCGTAAATATCGCCAAATGCCTAAACAAAACAAAATGTTTGAAAAAAAAAAAAAAAAGTAGGCCCACCGCGGATTGAACCCGCGTCCACTTCCGTATGAAGCGGACACCTTAACCCCTATGCCATGGCACCGCTTAGGAAACTCGTTGTGTCCACTCTTTTTATGCGAGAAAAGCGGAGTGCGTATAGCCATTTCCGTCCGAAGCGCACTCCGGAGTGCGTATAGCTTTACTCTTTCGACTTCACTGCAAAGGTAAGCGGCATCGCAGAGATCTGTAAAATTACGAGGATACGTTTAACCTATTGAAGATAGAGTATATATTATTCTAAATATATTTAAAACAAATATTGCACTACTTAGGCTGCATTCTTTCAATGATTCCTGCAGGAGTCATTGGCCTTCGCCATGGTGGACTCTGCCACGTTTTATGGCTCGGCACCAGGACCCACTTCGTTGAGGTTTAGCGACAGAAACGTTGAGGACATCTTTACCGCCGACACTTCAGAGGATGAGCCAGATGACTCTGAACCCTCAGAAGCACAGGCCTTGTTACGAGATATTCATCATCACTCCGAATCCGACAGCGATGATGAAAATTTCCTTCCAAGCGCTGCTAGCGACAAGGAGAGTGGCCTCAGCGATTCATCCGACTGTTCTCACAGACCAAGATCAACTCGAGATGTACGAGTACAGAGGACAGGAAATCACAAGAGAACGAAAACATCTACAAGGAAACTAAAAAAGAGGGCACGACAATTCTTGTGGCAGAAGAGTTCAATCCCTGATGTTGACACTTCGTGGAAAAGTTTGTTTCCGGACCCACCAGCCAAGATACTGACTCCCTTTCAGTATTTCAGACAGTTCTTTGATCGGGAGATGTTTGAGCACTTGGCAGAGCAGACTAACCTCTACTCCGTGCAGAAGAGTGGGAAGTCTACCAACACAGACTCAGATGAGATGGAGCAGTTTCTCGGGATATTTTTGATGACAGGACTGATTCCATTCCCGCAGTACCACTTCTATTGGAATGAGAAGCTGCAGTTTACACCGGTGCCTCAGGCGATGTCAAAGAACAGGTTCAAACAGCTCTGAAGGTATTTCCACGCTGCAGACAACAGCAAAATCTTGCCAAAAGGTGACCCGGGCTTTGAGTGTCTTTTCAAGCTGCGTCCTTTTCTGGATGCACTGCAGGAAAAATGCTTGGCTGTGGCACCAGAAGAAGCGCAAAGTGTTGATGAGCAGATTGCACCATTCAAGGGAAGATCAAGCCTTCGCCAGTACATAAAAAATGAACCCCAAAAGTGGGGTTTTAAGATTTTTGTTCGGGCTGGTATTTCAGGTATTGTATACCAGTTTGCGGTGTACACTGGAGCAGACACCCTAAAAAAAAGCCAAGACTACCAGCTCGGCTTTGGTGGCAATATCGTCATGGCATTATGTGATGGCTTGCCTAACGCCAGCAACTTCAAGGTGACCTTTGATAACTGGTTTTGTTCTATTGAACTTATCGAAGCTTTGAAGAGAAGAGGAATCTTTTCCTGTGGTACAATTCGTGCCAATCGAATGAAGAACTGCGCTTTGGAGTCCGAAAAAGACCTCCGAAAGAGAGGACGAGGCTCCTTCGACTATAAAGTCGAAAACTCTGAGAATGTTGTTGTGGTTCGATGGCTGGACAATAAAGCCGTCCAGCTTGCGTCCTCCTACACAGGAGTTGAGCCGGAAGATCAACTCAAAAGGTGGAGCGCTTCGGAAAAGAAGCACATCCTGGTTACTCGCCCAGCGATTGTGAAGACCTACAACGAAACAATGAGGGGCGTTGACCTTGCAGATCAGCTGATCGAATACTGCAGGATACCAACACGTTTCTCAAAATGGCACATAAAGCTGTTTGTGCATTTCCTCAACTTGATTGCTGTCAAGTCGTGGCTCCTCTACAGGCGACACGCGCAGCAACTTCAGCTTTCAAAGCAAATGACACTGTTTGAGTTCATATTGGATGTGTCAGACGCTCTTCGACGATCAGGCAAGACAGATACAAGGAAAAGAGGAAGGCCTGCCAGCAGTCCTGGGGAACCTTCTAAAAAAACGGGACGACCAGCAAACCCCCCCCCCCCCCCCCCCCCATCGAATGACACGAGGTATGACGAAATAGGGCACTGGCCAGAGTTCCAGAATCAAAAGCAGCACTGCAAAAACCATCTCCTCCTGCAGGAAGTGGAGCTGCACAAAATGCAACGTCAGGCTCTGCCTCAGCAACAACAAGAACTGCTTCGTCGACTTTCACAAGAAGTAGAAGACTACTCGAGGTTGGCCACAACCGGCCAACGATTACTGTGGGAGTCATAACCTTTCTCCGCAAAAATATCGCAAAATAATGCATCAATAATTTTTTCCTTATTTTTTGCCTTTTTTGTACAAAGAAATGCACAAATAAAAATTATATTGTGTGAATTTGAAAATTTGGACCAGAAAGGGTTAAGGAGGCAGTCACCCTTACTGTTACTACCTCAATGTTGTAGTAACACCACAGATTGTGTACTTCTGCTTGCCTTTCATCCATTTTTGTTTCTTTGGAAAACAAGATGCCAACGGCGTATCTTGCCAGATATGATTTGCTGATGCCACAGGAAGGTCTCATAGCAAGCAAAATTGTTTTAGCTCAACACAACAAGCTTCACAATGTGGTGCATAATACAAGCTGTTTCTCATCATGCACCCAGCAACAAGTTCACAAATCTCATCATCCCTGGCAGGCAGAAATTCAGTCATGCAAGATATTGGAGCAGAAGTTGAAAAAGCTGCACAGGGCATATTTGAGCAACTTAGGAATTTACCTTTGCTTTAGAGGATTTTCCACCCCTCCAAGGAACCTCGGAACTTCAACTACATGCAAGCTCATTCAAACACGTATGCCATTTCAAAGTTGTAATTGGGCACTAATAACTATAATTTGAATGTATGTCAGAAATAAGCTCACATCTTTTTGACCTCAGGTTAATGAGCAGAATCAACATGCATTAAAAGCATATTTATTCTGCTCTGCAAGTTCTTTCCCTTTCACTGCACCTGTCAACAAGAGAAAAACAATTCCTTTTGCACAAACTCCAAGGGACAAGATAATCCATGTCGGACTAAAAGCAACATTTCCAAGATCTCAATGTGCCACTGCATGCATTGTTTCAGTTTTAATTTCCCCGTTGATGTAGTGCATCTCGGCACAGCACGAGAAAAATCCACAGGGTCTCTTAGGCTATCTATCTCCAAGAAGACTTGAAAGCGAAAGCCCAACGGGTTTAATCCGCACCGCGCACGCACCTCCGCTGATTCTGGCACAAATAACGCAATCTCGTGGTCCAGTGGCAAACCGTGGGTTTTGGTACCTTTCAAGTCACCGTGTTTTCGTTCAAGGACTGAACGATGAGACGTGTAAAGTTTTTTGCCTTAATAAAGTTAGCGGTTGCTTGCACTGCTCCCACTCATCCTCGTGAGAGCCCCCACTGAAACACGACCTCCAGCGTTTGTAAGGACCTGCCTAGACTTAGCAAGGGGTAGGAGTTCAGCCAGCCGTGTCCAATACCCTTCTGGGAGCCTAGCTACCACTCCAGAGTGCATGACCCTCCCAGCTTACGGATCATTTAAGAAACCGAGCACATTGAGATAATGGAACAGAATGATTGGCCCAGTACACTTCTTCCTGTGTTTACCTTGTTCCAAAACTCGCGCCTCATCGTGGCGTAATGCCACATTATGCACTTTTGGGAAACGTTGGGCAGCCAAATCCATACACACTCTGCTCCTGGCCTACAGGTTCCCAGAAAGCAACCCTTGTGGCGATGGATTTATTGAAGTAGTCTATCCTGGTACGTTGGGGTACCCATAATACGTGTCCCAGCATTTTATCTGTATTGGTAGGCAACACCTACAGTATTATAAATTTAAGGAGCCATATATTCGATAATACATGCTGTTTTTGCTCATGGCTGGATGTTGTGAATTGAGGTCAGCAAATCGAAACCAAAAACGTGAGCAATGGGTTTTCAAGATGCTTTCTGCGCCATTAGGATAACTTCAATTTTAAAAGAGGTCTATTTGGGAGAAACTACTAACCGTGGCACTGGCACCTGTAAAAAAAAAAAAAAAAAAAAGGTGGGAGTAACTATAATTCACTCTTATAGTTTCCTTCAGAGTTCAACTGCTATCTCAGACCATGAGCAAACATTAGTCCTTTTAATGATCCAATCTCAGGAGAAAATACAGTACATTGAACCATAATAGGCAAAAATTGTTTAGAATAACCTTGGAATTCTCTTCAGTGCCATGCTTAGAATGGTTACAGTAAATGGCTCTTTGCAGAAATTTAGAGCAACCCTTTCTTACCTTTACACCAGCAACAAAAACGCAGAACGTGGATGGTTTCCTCCACTTTCCATGTATTTATTCCTTCTATGAGGTATGCATGCCCGAATAACACAAAAACAAGTTCTACTTCGAACACTTTAATTTGCGGCAATATTTAGATCTAGAAGCAATTGCTTCGAGACATTTTGGCAGAAAATGATCTTCGAGTCGGATTCGCTTCTTTTTACAATAATCACAGCTGTAGAGCCCGCTCCAATGCTTGCCGACGGTTTGCAGGTCTTGCTTGCTTACAACCTCTGCTACATTGTCAGTTCCTGTTAACAAAAGCAAAGACATTAGAACATGTCAAAACCACTAAATGAGCCGAACGGTCCAACACATAAAATATGCCAAAACGTAAAGAGAAGAATAAGCAATACATACCATGATTGCATTCACGATGTCATTATTGTTGTTCTTCAATGCTCGTACCGCCTTCACACGAGAAACATTTGCTTGGGACATGACAAGTTCAATGTCTTTGCTTTCCACACCACCCTCGTCGACCTGGAAAAGAATGAATGCTCTCAGAATTTGAAACTATGAAATACTTCCTGCAACAGTGTGTGGGTGCACTGCGGCCCTGTCAAACCTGTGGATCAAGCAGCCAAAATGGTTTTAATTTTATCTAGCAATCGCGCAATCAAAATACGCCTGCTGGACTGAGTGCCACTTGATTGCAGAGATGAGAAGCGGACGTAAATTTAACATTAATTATTAATTCAATCATATCACAATTTTAGCAATTCACCAACAAAGCACCTTGCAGTCTGCAGACCAATGAACTGGACTGCATTTTGTGATGAACAACAGCCCCTGTCATTTCAGGTGTTCTGAGTCTCAAGAAACGACCAAAGTATTATAGGTTTCTCCTTCCCAAAACTGCAAAAGATTTAGAGGTGTGGAGACAACACAATAGACCTATTGCTATATTACCCAAGCATCGAGGAGAATGCCGGGATTGGTGTTCCTCAGCAGTAGAAACTTTTCTAAAGCGAATACCTAAAACAAATGGCACCTTGCACGTGCGTTTGTCAACGCTTTATTTCGGTTATTTACTTTGAATCTTTTATACAGGGAAGGTGTGCGCGTGGAACACCAATCCCTGCATTCTCCTTGATGCTTGGGTAATATAGCAAATGGTCTATTGCTGAGTGACCACACTCGTGCAGTGCCAGAACTACAAACTTCAACATAGTTGGCAACTGGCAGTTTCAAATGTCTACATATTTCCATACAAGCACATCGTTCAGGTGATAGGCCTCTTTTTGTTCCCATTTATCATGGTGAAACCTTCCGGGTGTTCTGCTTAATCAGTAATGCAAGGATTCATGTCTGGCAAACTGCATATGGAGCAAGCTGCATATGGAGCCGATGCTGCTTTCTTTGCAAGGGTTAGTTTCAGAAGGGTTGGCACCACTTTATACTTCGTTTCACTGTATCTTGGCAGAGCAAACGCTATATTTCAACCGAGCCAATCGAAGCCATGGAGGTGAAGAACGTGACAGCCCTCACCAAAGGTACCGACAACCCTTACCACAGGTACAGGTATGAGAGCATAAGCCAAGCAGCTACAGAAGAAGGAAAGGAGGAACTCCCCTATAACCTATGCCTCTTTCGTGTCTACTAAACATTGCTTTCGTTTCCCTCAAAGGTTAGCCCGTCACTCAAAATTCATACAAAAGTGGCTCTCCTCTTTCTCCCCCAGCGGCTTCGACCGCACTGCACGTAACTAGCGCGACGAGGTATGGTTATGTACACCCCTCCGAAGTGCCACTTGCCCTTCACCGTCTGCCAAGTTACATCGAGACGGGCCGTGGCCGTCCTCCGAAACGTGCCGCCCCACAATTCCCGTTGCCCCGGGCAGCTGCCCGCTCTGCCCATTGGCGAGTCTGCCGCCGCCGGCAGCCTCAAATGCACGTACCTCCTCCTCCTCTTCAGACTCCTCTTCGATTGGCTGAGAGACAGCCGTCTGTGCCGGCTCACCCGCGGCGGCGCCGGAGTCGGGAGCCTTAAACTTCTCGGCAGCAGCCATCTGGGCCTGCTGGCTCAGGTCCTCAATCTAGAAAGAAGCAGCATGTAAGTGTCACAGATCACCACCCAGCAAAGCTGACGGTGGCACATAAAAAGCACATTAATTCGGACACACACTCAGGACTGCCGAGGATGATTTCGATGCAACACAGAAAAGACCATGCCGGAAGTATGCAGCACCTCCCGTCGTCTGTTCCAAGCGCTATGACAGTCCCATGCAAAGGAGCACCGACAAATAGAAGGAACAATTCATGTTTTGTTTAGAGCCTTGCGATTTCGTAATGCAAAAATAAGAGGATTGATAACAAAAAAGGGTCTGCTGGACGGAATGCTCCCAGAATTCTTTGTGCTGCACAGCAAAAGGGTTATTAACTAAACTATGTATGTAACCCAGAAGGAAGCTTTTTCAGCTGTAATATCTAACACTCAAACCTGAAAAAAAAAAAAAAGAAAACAGAAGAAATATTAACTAAGTACATTGTCGCGCAAAGAAATCGCTGAAGACGGGGGATGAACAGGGTCCACAGAACAGCAGTAAATCTACTGCTTCTGCCACCGCTCATCTCTGTATGAGCCAGGGTCTCGCAGACCTTCAAACCTGGATGTTACCTATTTTGCTTTGTGGCATATGAAGCTGACAGTAAGATGTTGTTAGATCTGCGCTCTACGGACAGACGGACACAGTGTGCACGTAGCGGTACGCTTCAACGTGTTTATCCCGTCGGCACCCAAAAACAATTACGTTGTTTTTTTTGTTGTTTTTTTGCCAAAGCAACATAAGTCATCTGGCACGCCCCGACAGAGAACTGAGGATTAAGTTTGACCAGAAACGGGGAGACTGAGACTTGTTGCGCCTTCTCCACAACAAGCCTCCGTCATATTGTGGGCACGTCAGCCGGAATTCGAGGCCAGTGCCTTGGAGCCACAGCGCCACCATCAAAACCCGTAAAAATCACTTAGGCACAGCAAGCACTATGTGCACTGCCAAATCAGGCAGGCACATGGTGGTGATGAACATTGCCCATTCTAACTACCACACGACTGTGCAGTTAGCATGTTCCGACTGAGGGTCGAGGCAGCATAAGTTTCCAGACCTTTTTATAACATGTAGCGCACAGAAAGAGAAACAATGCATGTTCCATATACTTTGCACATCCCAGGTTTTATCAAAAAGTACTTAGTTGAAAGTATGTGTTGAGATGGAACTCGCTGCTTGTCTTTTTACTGCTGAGACATCCCACAAGTGAACAGTGCTGTAGGCATTGCCGAGCAATTCCGAAAAACCGCGTTACTGGTTCCCGACATGCCAGATTTTCGTCGAAAGTAAGCAAACGTAAAACAATGGATTGCAAGCGTCCCGGCTGGTGCCTCTGTCGTGCAATCATGTTCGCATGCACGGGGGGAACTTCGGCAGGCTTGAAGTTGCGCGTAAATCCCCTTGAATTGTTGTGAAAACACGTGAGACACGTGCCACAAGCGCAAAAAAAGCGAATGGTGCTTCGCAGCCATTCGCTTCCAAGGTCCGCTCATCTCAGCGCTGCGCCGCCACTTACTTCGAAAGGGTCGCTCGAGACGCGGGCCTCGTGCACTCGCGCATTCAACTTGTAAGACAACCGCAACCACATCGAGGGGCTTTAGTTGCGAGTGCTTTGTCGCTCGAGCGGAGACAATGGCTGTTCGATCGATACCGAAACCATGCCACTACGCTCCGTCGCTAACCATTTCCCAAAACGGTATGCAAAATGCAACTGTCGAGCATACAACAAAAAACAGTCTAGCGGCGTGTGCTTGCCAGGCCGGAAACAAAGTACAAATTAAACATAAAAAAAGAACTTGAGCTATTGATGCAAGACATCGCAAGCCAGGGTCAAAACGTTCTTGGAGCGCTTTGTGCAACGACTGAACTCGAGACAAACAAGTGCGCTGTGAGGGTTCAGCGTGCAGACGTTGAGTTGCCTTCTTTGCTTTTAGCTCACTTCTTTTCATCAACCTTCTTTCACGGCAGAGTGTTCACGTATACCGTAGTTCCTCTCGAAAAAAAGCCCACTGAGGGACACAGCGTTCATTGAGTTAAAGAGGGATTTTTTTAGTAACTTATGATTTAAACAAGAACAGGAATGTTGATGAACATGTGGCGGTACTTAGTTTCATCTTAAAAAGCACCATATCTGCAGCGACGTGGGGACGGCAACACTTGACGTCGCGCGTCCACGGTGACGGCAAGGCAGGGACAAAATATAGGTTTTCCACGGCCGTTGCTATCAGGAGCGAGCGCTTCAGTTCACAAAGTGTAGCTCCCGCCGCGCAAAAACATGGTTTTGTTTCACAGCATGACGGCGTGGCTGGTACCTGGCACGCTAGCGTCGGAGCGGCCGCACACACCAGCGTTTATCATTGAAAATATAAATTAAAAAAAAAAAAAAAGAAGAGACGAGACGAGGAGAGTGCAAAATGCAAGATGGCGAGAAAACCATGCAAGACCGGATGGACAATTGATGCAGGGTACTTTGTGTTGGGCGGCTGCTTGTGCCACATTACACATGCATGCTCCAATTAAGGTACTCAGTTTAGTTTCGGTTTCGAAAAACAACCAAAATTGTTTTTTTGGCGCAGGCTTGGCACAGATTGCTCCTATTTTGCCAAAATGTGGCAAGATGTAGCAGGGTTAGCCACTTGGCGCAGTTTGGCGCAAGCAATCACATCGCTGTGTTTATAAAATACGTGTTTGCTTGAAGTGGATTTTACAAAACAAAAATAAAAATATACATTTTCTTCCTTTTGTGCATATATACTGGACAGAGTGTCAGTGTCAAGGACCCCCAAGAAGATATAATAACTGTGATTATCTTTCGAGTGATGCGAAGTGTCCCCGGAAGGATGATTACATATTTTATAAATACGATAAAACAATATGATAGCATGACTTTCACCGTATTCTTACACGAAGAGTTCTTTATAGAAGTAGAACAAGTAGAGTCGAAGAAGCCACTTGCAGGTTTCTTCTACATTCTAGTGACTTGCATGTTCTAGTTTTTTTTAAAAAAACATTTTATGCTTTTTTTTTTGAACGAAAGGAACATGCTTCCCGGGACGACTGATACTCCTGCATTCTTTGCTTTTTCTAGGGACAGTATTTTTGGCGAGATAGAACGTTCTAGAGCAATATTTAGTGAGAATAACTCCTTTATAGACATAATGATTTTCTCCCCGATTGGCACCTTTAATCTAAGAGTGTAGTTTGCCCCTGCAATACAGTTGATGATGCACTGCATAGTATCACTCACTCATTCACTATACACTGTGTGGTCACATACGTTCACATACGCTTCGGCAAAAAAAAAAAAAAAATCTAGAACTGGACTTGCGGATAGACGCATCCGCAGCCCCTGGCATCCGATCCGCAATCTGATTCATTTTTATCCGAATCCGCCAGTTTACTGCGGATATCCGCGGATAATCCCAGATATGCAAAGCTCTACTTATAATCTTCCCCTGGCTACGCCACTGCCTGCTAATCGTAACAATAAGTGCCTTGCCTTTTCTGCGGCTGTAGAACGTGCAGCCTTCAAGATAAAGGAAGGGAAGTACTGTGAAGGGTACATTGTTTTTGCCAACAACGGACAGCTACCAGAGGTGCTAAAATAAACGAAGGACTCGTGGCCGAGATGCTGTTTACCACCTAAGGAGAGTTTTTAAGATGTCCCTAAATTGCCTTTCCCGGTCTGGTGTCTGCAGAATTGCTCAACAAGCGTAGCTCGTTGAGCTTGTCTATTTTGATGAGTGTGAATCCTTCTCCGAGGTGTTTAGAGGAAGATCTCCCCGACCGACGTAGTTTGCAACAAAGAATTGTTTTAAAAGCAGTGTGTCGAACCGAAAAAAAATACGGGTTCGGTTACGGTTCAGGTAAATTTATTTTGTTCCGGTTCAGTTCCGGTTTTATTAATTCGATTCGCGAACCGGTTCGGGGCGCTGAACCGGTTCGCGAACCGGTTCGGAAAGTATAAATGACAAATTGCAACATCAAAAAAAATTACAAATAAAACATCGTCGGAAAGCCAGCGCGAAATAAGTATAGACAAACGGCGTGTTTGTGAGAAAAAAAAAAAGAGGAGGGTGCACACCCCAAAGGTGTACGGGTCATGGCAAACGTACGTAGAATTCGATTCGCTCTGGCGCGTTTATTCATGTATAATACGGACACCGATGAAAACAAATGAAAAGTAGTCGAAACTAGTAGTGCAAAACGTTTATAAAAGCCTGTAGCCAATGCAAGCGGCAAACAATGACTGTCTGATGACAGGACTGTCTGTCACGGGCGCCAACTCCAGCGTCTGCTGAGCGTTGGTTTGAGCGCACGCGCCCGCTTGAGTCCCATGACTACGTTGGGCAGGCGACGGAAGCAACAGAAGCTCGGTAGATCCTTTGTCAAATTCGAAAGTGCGCGCAGCTTCGCTTCTCCGCGAGCGACTAGGGTTTGTATCCCTGTTTTTTTCCCCGAATTTATCGAGTTTCCGGTACGAAAAAATACGGCATGTAAATCTTGACACTTCATAGCTCGATATACTCTGACCGGTGGTTGGGGCAGCGAAGAGCAGATATAATTCATGAATGCTCATTTCAACTGTAAATAAAATTTCTTTCTCTCCCTCAAACATTATCAAACTCCACAGCCTTTTCTTTTCTCATTCCGATGGAAGCAAGCTTCAAGAAATCGCGCGTTCTAGAAACGTGCTATGAAATGAGCACACAGCAGCATTTAGGATTTACGAGATTGTAGGAAAATTAAATCCCGTGACGCGATTTTTTTTTTTTTTTCACAGCCAATTCTTTTTTTTCTGTGCAAGCCGCTACCAGCGCAATACTGGTTTCTATGTCAAGATTCATGGATGCAGCATTTATATTCCCAAGACTGAGTGGAGAAGAAAAATATGTAAGCGAGGTGTGTGTCAGTTGACGGCACTTAAAAAACAAATGGCATTGGTAGCACATTCATTGTCAACAGCGCGTGGCCGAACCGTTTTGACATGAGCCGGTAACCGTTATTTTTTTTTTCCGGTTCAGTTCCGGTTCGGGTTCATCGCGATAACAATATAACGGTTCGGGTTCGGGTTCAGTTCCGGAAAAAATACCGATTCGGTTCCGGTTTTCGGTTCGGTTCCGGTTCGACACCCTGGTTAAAAGTACATGTCTTCCGAAGCAATGTGTGGTGCTTGTTTTCATGGCAGGACTGACCTAAGCCTAGCACCCCATGTAAACTATTTTGCTTGATCTGGCTTGGTTTCTTAGTTTGCACTTGTTCATGCTGAAAAACAAAGTTGGTTCCCGTAAAAGCAGCCCTGCTGGTTTTAATACTGAGAAGATGCCTACACAGGTAAGAATTTGTGAGCCATATGGCTGCAGGCAATTGGGCGTTCGGCTAGCATCAAGTTTTGCAGCGCATGTGACCGGCCCAAGCGAATATTTTTAGGTCACATTATAGTTGTGCATCATGACACTCACCCGCCTTGTTCGTACATGCCTGTCAAAAAACAAGAACGGAAAAGTCGAAAAAGAACTGCATATTTATCTTGATTTTTCTAGTCCTCTTGGTTGTTTTTACCGCACATTGGCAGACTCATGTCTGCCAATGTGCATGATGGAATGCTAGATGGCCCGTGCATGATGGAATGCTAGATTGGCACTTCCATGGTCGCACCTTGCGAGCGCTCCAGACGTTTACAGATAGGGGCAGAATAGCAAACCAACGCAGGCAATAATGGACGCCGACGCACAGTTTTCATTGACGCGTCTTACGGGCCTTGAAGATGACAATAGATGATGGTGAAATAGCAGACGATGCCGGAGGCTACCCCAAGTTTGCTCACTCAACTAGCAGGCAGTGTCGGACGCCAGACCAGACGAACCGGATGTCGGGAAAGGAAGACACCAGGCTAGTTAATGTGTTCGCCGAGAAACCAAGCCAATCCAGTAGTAATGGGAGGACCACTTCTCTGTGGGCAGGTCGTGACCTCCACTAATAGACCATTTCCAGTATTCCCAAGCGCCCCGGCCTGCACTCAAGGAATCATGGGAACGGTGTTCCTTCAGCTACCTAGTCATCGCTAATTTTGGACCAACTCCATGGTTACACAGTGTTTGAGCGTAATTCGAGGTAACCCTGAACAATCACCTGATATACCCCAAGGACCTGCCATATCACTTTTAAAATTGCTCGTCAACGGCAGCATTTTTGATACTGCGTATGCGATCCACCTTTCAACCTGGCTGAGCTGCAGAAATCTCTTACAATATTATCATTCTCGTGATTGTTGTTTGAGCAGGAATTGCTTAAAAAGCCGATAATTCAAAACAACAAAAACCAGGATTTAGCTCGGAGTCCGCGGGGCTGTTTACAGCATTCTTAGCGTTTTTAACTTAAGATCAGCATGATAATAATGTAAGAGATTTCTGCAGCTTAGCCGAGTTGAAAGGTGGACAGCATGCACAGTATAAACAACGCTGATATTGAGGAGAAATTTTAAAAGCGATATGGCAGGTCATTGGGGTATATCAGGCGCTTGTTCAGGGTGACTCCGAATTACGCTCAGACCCTGTGTAACCCGAAATAGGGTCGAAATTATCGATCACTAAGGGACTGAAGGAACACCGTTCCCATCATTCTTTTAGCACGGGGCACTTGGGGGATATAGCAAATGGTCTATTGCATCTGACGCAGATATTTCTGTTTGTTAGGAGATAATGAATAAATTAACAAAACTGCAGTGAGTTCATGGCCGGCATCAGGCAAATATGCTCGCCCGCAGGTCACCATTATAACTAAGAGCTCCTGGCTAGGACTGAGCAGGTTGCTCTAGTACCAGAATTGCGTGCCTGCAATTCTAGTACTATAGCAGCTTGTTTTGTTCAAGAGCTCAATATTTCACGGTCTGAAAAATTTGGGAATATGTGGCGGGCACAAAATTTAACAATTTAAAGTGATATGCTATATATACATTACTATGGATTGACATATTCGTGTGACCAAAATTTTGTCACATTTTCCAAGTTCCAAAAATTGGGCCCTCGCAAAAACTTGCAGTACACAATACCTTGAAAAGGAGAATGATAGTATTTTACTAACTGTAGGGCATTAAAAAGCAGTAATTGCAGAAATGGAACCAATCGAGCATGTATCATATGTAATACAGCTTCAGGCAATGGTGTAACAATCGCCTAGATACCTCACAAGTGAGACAGTCTCCTTATGCTGTATGCTAATTATCACTGCTAGATTGGTTATTGTCAATCCTCAGCAGTCCAGAGAGCTGAGGATTATAATTTTCTTATCAAAATTGTATCATTATTATCTTGGAGGAAAGTTATATCCACTTAACAAAAAAAAATATATACACTTCTGCATTCAGTTGACTTCTTACAAGTAGGATTCCGTATTTTCTGAGTATATTTCGTGGCAAATTCCGATGGTGTTTTGTTTAAATTTTTTCCAAACATTGCAGTGTTTCCTATTTAAAAGATACAAAAGAATGTGTTGAAATAATATTTAACTTAGATTTGGCATCACTACCCTTGCCAATACTAACCTGTCCCAAGACAAAACTAACTTGCAAACAAATGTTGCTTTAAAATTCCTAACCACCTGGAGGTAGTTGCTTGAAGCTCATTTTCATACCATCCTATTCCATCACCCCACCCTTCGCGACATACGAGTGGTAAAGGGTGTAATATAGAAGCTTCACCTAGTCTGGACCTATAGTGTGGTCTAGACTAGAAACGAGAACAGTTGCTTTTGCCGTCACCCAGAAGTAGAAAGACCGGTTGTCCCCACTAATGAATGAACCTTGAGGAGATAAATGGTAAGACCCCTTTTTTCAATAATCCGAGATTTAAAAGTGAACTGGGACATTGAAATTCTAGCTTATCGGATAAATTTGAATTGACAAATTTTACTGCCAAGTGTTTTCAGAGTTTTCTGGACTTACGCAAAAGCACGGAACCCTACATATAAACAAGCCCGGGTGACATCAAACAGTCAAGCCGATTCCCACATTGCACACACACCGGCACAGTGTGCACAGACACCGTCCACCGGCGAACTGTGACCTGCTGCGCTGCAGAACGAGAAACCCGACTTGGCAGCAGTGCTTTCCCAAATGGAAGTAGCAAAAAGAGGTATCGGAGGCTACCTAGAAGAAATCTGTCAAGAGACACGGTACCTTGGCTTCTCCGAAGACAATGTAGGTGTCTGACGCCGGGCTTTTGTAAACGTCTGGCTTGGTGATGACGAAGAGGATGTTCTTGGACTTGCGGATGGTAACCCGACAGACACCCTGCACTTGCTTCAAGCCTAGCTTCGACATCAGCTTACGAGCTTTCTTTTCACTCCGGCTTTGTTTGGCCTTGCTGACCAACTCCTCTGTGATGCCAGCTGCTTGTGCCATCTGTTAGAAAATTCGGTACAAAAAAGCCAGTGTCAGATGGATCAGGTTCTCTATCAAATTGCTTCTCTTAAATACCCCGATTTTTCCACAATATTTCTATTAGATTCCTTGACCATTACAAAAGACGAAAACGCAGGGATAGGAACAGTGGCTGTTAGAGCTGTTCCTGTTTAATCGGGTGAATCAGCAGGTGGCTTGCGCTGCCTTGGGCGACTGTCGAGCTATTCGCACAGTGCATATTTTTGGCGAGCGAATCGGATGCGCCGTTTGAACACAACGAGAAAAGGTAGCACGTCCTCACCTTTGGAGCAAGATTTTGCTGAATTCTCACTAAGGTCTGTCAATCACCCAAAGAAACACGGACGATGCCAATGGCCGCTCGACGTCGCTGCGACGTCTGACCTTCGAGGCAGAGCGAAAATTTGGAGGAGACTGAATTTTGGGCGATACCGTATCAAAAAAAAAGTCGAATTTGGGAGCTTTACGTGCCAAACCAACGATGGGCATCTGGCACGCCCCAGAGGAGGACTGAGGATTAATTTGGACCACCTGGGGATCTTTTGATGTGCAACCGAAAGCTCGGTTCCACGGCGCCTTCTCCGCAAAAGTTTCAGTCAGATTGCAAGCACCTCGGCCAGGATTTGAACCCGCCACATGGGGATCCATAGGCTGGCGCTCTCGCCTCGGAGCCACCAAGGCGGCAATCCCATATCCAAACTAAAGCCGAAGAGAAAAAACAAACATGGCTGCGAGCGACAAGTGGGGATGCGGTGTGCAGGGGAAATCCGGGTTGGCGCAGTGCAGATTCCTCAATAGTTGCGACGAGTTGCGTATCAACATGACTGATCTTTTAGCGGTGCAAAAATTTCCAAAATACTTCCCAGATCCTCCCGTTTCTTTATGTTTGCAGTCTTTCCTCCAGTTTGGCAGGCCTGGTAAACCGAGCGAGCCAGAATCGACAGTTTATCGAGTGATATTAATAAAGCAAATTGTCTCTCCACACAATGTGTACTTCATATCCCTTTGATGCGAAACGCTTGACATTCCCGGTGCAGATGACAAGGTCTGGCGAAATTCTGGCGAGTCAATATGTCACAGATTTCGCGCGTCAAATTCGACGTGCGAAGAGGCCGGGTGCGTGTTCAAAAGATGCACTGTGTGAATAAACCTGTAGGCCATCCACGCCGCACCCTCCCACTTCGTTGCGTGTCACTGCGCCGTCCAGATCACCCATTTTCCCCGACTTAGCCAACTTTTAACGATTTCCCCGACCTTTCCGGGTACCTTGAAATTCCCCGACAATTACAGCCTTCCGAGCTTGGCAGACAAGTGTGGATTTTTAACCGAACACTGCGATCACGCGGCAAAGAAAGGCCTAAGGCAATGGGCGAATAACACGAAGAGAGAATCACCTGGCTCTGTCCTGTGGATTTGCCAATGTCGTCCTCGAGATCGGGCACTGTATCATCACTGCCGGAGTCTGTATCACTTCCTAAAGGAAATGGTCGAGCACCATGAATGCACAGCAGCCCCAGCTGAGCATACGATCGCACACCCACAGCAAAGAAGCCACAATCGAACTCACCATCTTCAACGGTTACTTTGTCGTCCAGCTTGGTGTCGCGTTTCACGGAGTCATTCACGCTGAGTTCAGGCATGTTTGCTGCGCTGGATTGCTGGAAATGCAAACATTGACGGTTACCGGCAAGCAGTTGATGCCTTCGGGAGTCTAAAACGCTAGAGAGACTGAAATCTTGCGTAACACCACGGACAAACGAAGGCGAGCGACTAATCCCTTGCCATTGTGCTTCGGTTGGCGGACACGGACGTAGGAATGGCACGCGGTGGCCCACTCCTACAAATTAACAATAGCGTCTAGCAGATCGATCCCAACAAACACTAGAGGATATATTGTTCATACTTGGAGGTGAAAACAACCGGCAAGTATGCGCCTCACGTTCGCTCAATGTTTTGGTGCGAGAACGTTCTAGGCGAAGTCATTTTGAAAGGTTACTTCGAAAAATGTATGCTTGTTTATTGCGCTTGAAACTGCAGTATTAAATACCAAAAGGTATCCCAATAATAAGCAGATTAAGGTGGATTGAAAATGACTAACCTTCAGACGTTGAGAAGGCGACGCACGGTGCGCAAAAAGCACTGCCGCCGGAAGAGAGGCCCTCTTTGGGGTAATAAGTGAAACTTGATAATCAATAAATTATGTTTTGTAGCATAACTAAAATGAAATATCCGAGAAGCTAAAAAAAAATATAAAAAGGAGAGTTATTTAAATTTCAGTTATTGGTAGACCCCTTTTTAATCTCCGAGTACATTCTCACGTTTACTTCCATGTGTTGTGTTGAAGATTACGGAGGATAGATGACACTACTAAAAATCACGCACCGGTAGCACCGGTAGTGCACCGGCTCTGACACGCACTTCATGCTGCTTTATGTTTTATGAGATTATGAGAGAGACTGGACCAACGTTGGGTGCGACCAAGGGGTGCGCGCGCATCGAATTCAGCAGTTTCTGCAGCAAAAGAACGTAGAGCATTGCTTGTTTGAAGTTAGTTTGGATAGCATAGTCTAGTGTTTGAACATGGCAACATCAGTTGGTGACACTTTGGAAGATGATGTAGTCGCTATTCCCTGGACAAGTTTCTGTGACAAAGCCTTCAACTGCTTGGTCAAGCACAAGCACGACGCTGCAGGCTCCTTTCTCCGCATCTACGCCTCCGACTTCATACGTGTTTACGATGAAATCCTCGATCAGGACTTGCTGCTCGAGAGATGCAAGGTAGTACGATACTATATATCACGGGTGGCCAAGCTGCGGCTCGCGAGCCGCATGCGACTTTTTGCGTGTTAAAATGCGGATTGAGTGCTCATAGCCGGTCCAGGCCGGTCCTCCAACTTTTTCACTGGCTACACAGATGAAGACTGAAGCTGCCACACAATTAATTTCGTCTGCTTTCAAAGAGGTTCCTCACCTGACCTGGGGGGCTATGTTCGACAAATGTTTCGCTTCTTAAAAAAAGAAAGGGAAGTGACAGAACTTACGGTATAGCGTCCGATTGGCGGTGTTGATGTCGCTGGCCTGTAATAAGGCGGAGCCTCCTGAGGGGGCGGTTCACCGAATGATACTTTAGCGAATAGTTGGGCGCCGCGAAGCGGCGTTTACGTGTGGGCCAATACACACACACATGTGGGTTCACGTTTTTTGTAATGAGCCGCCTCAGGCTGTCGCCGCGAAGCGGCGTAAAGCGCAGCGCGGCGGATGGGTTAACGCGCGCCCCCGTTATTGCCCCGGAGGCTCCGCCTTATTACAGGCCAGCGACATCAATACCCGATTGGCTACAGGCTCAAATGACGAAAGAGGGAACTTTCGTCATTTGAGCCTCTAGCCAATCAGACGTGATATTGTCAGTTCCATCAGTTCCGTTACTTCTTAGGAGAAACGAAACATTTGTCGAACATAGCCCCCCTGAACTGCAATTCACAAACCCTAAGTTTGTATAAAGCTTTCCTGTTGAGATTCGAAGCCGGTCAACGCCGAGGAACCGTTTGCTTGAGCGTCGGCTTGTCCTGGTTCCTGATGGTTGCCGGAGTTCTAAACGAACCAACACTGCTGGCCGTAGCTCCATTCTGTCGCCAACTTTTACGGCTGGAACAATTACGGCACAACTGACCATTTTAAAGCTCGAGTGAGTGGACAAACTACAGTGCAAACACAGCCCCAAAGCACACAAGACATAGCATAACAACGACAAATGCCTTTATCATGGATTCCGGTGGGTTCCGGCGAGATTTCTGTACCGGGAGTAGCGTTGCATCATGGTCTCATGCAAGAACCCTAATACAGTAGTAGTCGTTCACCCTGCTGATTGTAAGGTGTCAAGTGCTCGCAGAGTGAAAACTCGGGCAGGCTGGTGAACATTTTGATGACATGCAACTCTTATTGGTTCAGAACGTACAGAGCAGAAAACCTGTCTTTATTTCCCAACAGGATTAGGCACCTTTGTTAACCGCTGTTGTTACTTGGTATGTTGATTTTGGCACCGACTACCATGATGGAGCTGTAGTGATGCATGCATATTCTCCTTTCAGGAGCTGAACCCAGATCTAGAGGTGACGGCAGCCTATCTTTCTGAGCACCTTTCCCAGGGCATCACCAAAGCCCTGAAACAGACTTGCTCTGCTGCCACCCAGGAAGCCTGTATGGAAATAGTAACCTGTAATGCGGGCTTACTTGTCATGCAGTTGCATACAATGATAAGCGGAGTGCCATTCCTGTGGGAATTTCGAATGCCTGCTCAAACTGCTAGTGATTCGGTAAGTGTTTGGTCACTGCCTTTGTTCTATTGTTTTGTTGTTAAAGCACAGTTTTATGCACAGTTGTCTAAGCACAGTTTTGTTGTTTAAAGGGGCCCTGCAATCATATTTAAGTGTCTACCTTTTTTGCGTTTTCCACGTCTCTTGAGGTTCGGGTAAGCCAGCGGGCATGGAGAGAGTAAAGAAATATCAGTGCGTCATAATTTAACCAGACGACGCGGAAACTTCCTCCACCTACAAGGGCGACCCGCGTTGCCGAAAGCGCGTGATATGTGACGTTTTTGGTCCTGGGCTTACTACTGGTCAGAGTCGCTAAAAGCTGTTTTTTTAGTCGATATAAAATATAAGTGTCGGGAACTGTTTCAATTATGTATGAAAGTAGTTTTTGTTCAGTATTTTAGATCAGAAAAGAAACAAATGCAGTTTATAAAGTATGGAAACAAGAAAAGACCCGTCGACAAACCCGCCACCAAGCGGCGGAAAAAACGGCGCATACTAGAAAGGGCTAGTGGGATGAGGCACCGACAAATGGCAAGCGTAGAAAGGTCCCGGATATACGCGGCGGCACTGCAGTCGTATACCGGCTCGATGATCCGACCGGTTCTGAGTGTTCCAAAGGCTTTCGGCGTGGGCTTGGCTGTTGATTTTGCCATTTGGCGGTATGGCTGCGCAAAGCGGCTCCCGTTCTGAATTTATATTTACCCCATGCTTGCTGTCGTTTGTGGCCAATCAGGCGTTAGGCCGAATTAGTCTTTAATCGTGCAGCAAATGCAATGCGAGCCGCCCTGGCCGCCCGCTTCATACAGGCTATCCAACACGTGCCTTAGTGGCGCCTTCTCGAGCCGTCGACACGGAGTGAGGCAGCCGTGAGCGTTCAATGAGCTCACTACACCTCCTCTAGTTCACGGCCACTCAAGCCAGGACCTACGACGTCATGAAGGAGGTTATTTTTTGCTTGTTTTTGTAATTCTAATTTGCCTATAACTTTTAAGGTAAAGCAAAATTCGAGAAAAGAAAAGTTTCATCAAGTTACTACGTTCAGTGCGCTCAGGATCGGTGCAAATTAAAAAACAGTCAAAAAGTTGTTGAACAGCCCCTTTAAGCACCATATTACATATATGTCAGGGTGGTTGGTTCATGCCATGTCGAATTGCCTCATTCTTCTACTCGTCTCATCATTCTGATTTGGCAATGGTACTCTATAGATTACTAGCTTTGATGCAGGACAACTCTTCAGAACCAAGAAAATATTGTGTAACATTGTTATTATACTAGCTTGAGCCAGTGAAAGCAGTTGTGCACCATTTATACATTGTGTCATATCTGTGTGGTGTGTATGTAGGCATGTACGTCCCAGGTTGCAGAACAATTAATTCTCTTAACATGAAGCCAAGAAGAGATAAACCGGTTAATTCAGAAACAGAACTGAGCAATGTCAGTAGAGCTAAAAGCTCTTAAAAAGTAGCAATGAATGCAGCGATGCACATACAGCCCTTTGAGAGAACTTGGCAGCACAGACCTGAACTGAGCTAGAGAGTTGCCATGCTTTTCCAGAACTCGCTTGGGACGTGTGCCGCACTTATTCATGCAACAGTCAAGAACTGTACTTTTACTTGAATGCAGCTGAGCTGATTATTTTCACATTACCAAAAAAATGGCCATCTTTAGGTTGATGCCAGATGCTGATCAGTGCCTGAAAGGATACTCATCTACAATTGGCTTTAATCATGCAGTAACACAAAGTCTAGGTGCGATGCTAGCTAGCCTATAAACTGTCTACATGCGATGGCGGTAAAAGTCGAATAGTACCGCTTCCCATATTTTTATAACTGAAGTGCATACCATGCTTCATCTAGCCTTATGTAATCCACCGGGGATACAACTCCGTAAAGCTGGGGAGGGGCATTAGTTTCTGTTGGAACACTCGAGGTAAAGGGTAGATTCCTTTAGAAGCCCTACTTTGGCACTTGTATCGCTATCGCATCTAAACAGCAAGAACAACTTTTCTCTCACGCTTATGCCCCCAACCGCCTCAGTGGATCTGAGGCAAAGCGCCGGCCTACAGATCCCTAGGTGGCAGGTTCGAATCCTGGCCTAGGTGCCCTCAATGTGACGGGTGCTTATTGCAAAAAAGGTGCCATATAACTGAGATTTTGGTTACATGGCAAAAGATACCCAAATGGCCGAAATTAATCCTCAGTCCTCTCCTGGGGTGTCACTGATTCCTCCCTTTGTTCCCATTGATTTAGCCCATAACCCTATATTCCCCTCCCCTTCACATTTTTGATGCTTATGCCCCTCTCTGTCAGATGTAGCCTCTATATTGCTGGCTGAAAGTCTGGTGGCCAGCATTTTTAAATACTCTCGCTTTATTGTCACATAACTTATGTTTGCTCAATTGAGCTGTGACATATGTTTCTAACTCTTAAACTGATATTCTTCCAGTTTTACAGACATGTGACTTTACCAATGATAGTGATGATAGTGGGTCTTCAGAAACAGCAGGAAGACTTGTTTGCTCTGCTGAACGACAAAGACTCTGAAATAAGTGATTACAAACGCTCGGGCCAACATCTTTCAAGGAGTGAGTATGCCTATGCATGCCCATGTTCTTTTTTTTTAGTAACTGGCACATAAGTTATCATTCCCACTGGATTTTCCTAAAAATATGTCTGACTATATGGCAAGGTTATGTTTCTTTCTTAAGCTGTCTGCTTTATCTTCAACTTGTAATAATTTGCAGAGCACCTGGAGACTAAGGTCTTTGATGCAGGAAGGTTTAGAAGAGAAACATTAACCCCCAAGGTGGGTAAATCTTAACTTCATCTGCGACAGAGTTTGCTGATATATATTGTTGGGACTATTACAGCACCTGAAGGACTGTTTTAGCAACGTCCACCTGAACCCTTTTGGCAGTGAGGCAGGTCTGATGTACAGGAAAATGATGGAAGCTTACAAGGACATTACGACATCTGCTCGTGAGCCAGGTATAGTTACCAGACCCCACCGCGAAGCAGTTAGCCCTGGCTGGCTTGTAGGCTTACAATATGAGAGAATGGCTACACCAGTTTTCTTCACTTTAATATGCATGTGTTCCCAGTACATTAAGCCGTCTTCCCAGTACTGCACTGGCAAAATTTTGACAACCCCTGATTTGCCTGGACATTGGTTTATCCTATCGATAGGCATGGCTGAGCTAGTAATTCAAATAATAGATTTAAAAATAACTTTTTTTTTTCACAGTTATTTAATTTTTAAGTTTGGTCTCCTCTGTTTTTTTAAAGGGAAAGGTTTTACTATACCTGATTTCAGCTAAGTCCAGACGCAACGGACGCTACTGGGTAGGGGGACCAATCAAGCAGCATCAAAAGTGCAAGTCACTAGGCCTCTATGACCATGATGGTGCACTTTTCACGCTGCGTGATTGGTCACACAATTTCGTAGCGTCGGCTGCGTCTCGACCTTCCTCTGAACAAAGAGGAAAAGAGACAGGATACGGAAGGCAGGTATCCAGGCAAAAGCGGATTTGGTATCTTAAAAGCCGCTGGGATGGAGATCTTGCGTCCTTCAATGGCGTCCTACGGTAGTTGAATGGCACCTTTCCGAGGCGCATAGACAAACTACCGGTCTGAAGTCTTTTTTTGAGGCCCTCCTTGATGGTGCTTACGGCTCTCTCCGCGAGACCGTTCGATTGTGGGTGGTACGCCCACAATCGAAGTGTTTCACGGGTGGGTGGTACGCCCACAATCGAAGTGCGCAAGTGTTTCACGTTGTTGTTGGACAAAAACATGGCAAACGCTTCGGATGTAAACTGAGTGCCATTGTCACTCACAATGGTTTTTGGTGTGCCAAACCGGCCGAAAATCTCGGCCGGTTTGACTCGGTCGTGGCATGTTGCATAGTAATTGCCTCTATCCACTTTGAGTGCGAATCCACTGCAACCAAGATCATCGCACCGTTTACTGGACCAGCGAAATCCAGGTGAACACGCGACCAGTTCTCCTGAGTCAAAGGCCAATTAACAGGAGTCTTCGCCGGCGGCATCGACCTTGCTTGTACACAGGTGTGACAATTGCTCGCCAGACGTTCGATCTTTCTGTCAAGTCCAGGCCACCACATGATTGTACGTGCGACAGACTTCATTGCTGAGGCGCCCTGGTGCGTCTCGTGCAGAAGCTGCAGCATCTGGTCTCGTGCGGGCTCAGGAACAATGACTCGGTGGTCCCACCCAGCAGATAAGACCTTGGAGAACGGTCATTTCTAGCCTCCTAGTAAAATACGCTTGCATGCGTGGATCAGACGCTTTCCTCTCCCGAGGCCAACCTTTGAGAATGTATTACTTCACCGTACTGAGGACCTCATCCTTCAAAGTTGGTTGGCGGAGCACTTGTGTTGAAAGATGAGTATTGTCATACCAACTCGCCCAACTTTCCATTCGAGTATTGTCGAGCTGTTTAAGCTAATCTACATGCTCAGGTGACTCATTGGTCACTTCCTCAGGAGTCTCTAGTGGAAGTCGACTGAGTGCGTCGGCGTTTTGGTTGTCTGGCCCAGGCTTATATTCTATCTTGTAGTTGTAAGCTCCCAGCAGCAAAGACCAGCGCTGGATCTGAGCCGTGGCCATGACTGGTGTCGGGCGGTCCTCACGAAACAGTCCAAGCAAAGGCTTGTGATCTGTGACTAAAATAAACGATCGACCAAGCAGATAGTTGCGGAACCTAGATACTCCGAACACCAACGCCAATGCTTCACGCTTGAGTTGAGAGTAGTTTCTCTCGGCCTTTGACAGTCTTCGGGATCGGAACCCAACTGGCTTGTCTGTTTCCAACGCGATGCCACAACACCGCTCCTATTCCGTACGGCGACGCGTCGCACTCCAGGCGCAATGGCTTCGCTGGGTCGAGGTGCGTGAGCAACTTTGCTTGTCGCAGTGCTTATTTGGACTTCTTGAACGATTCTTGCTGCCCCGGACCCCAGGTCCAGCGGCGATCCTTGGCTAGAAGGTCGTAGAGCGGAGCGAGCAACATAGCCATGTTCGGAAGAAAACCGTAGTATGTTAGAAGCTTGATGTAGGAACGAATTCGCTTACGTCCTTAGGACTTGGAGCCTTCATCACAGCATCCAGGTTCCTCTCCAGAGGCTGCAGTCCGTCGCTGCTGATCTTGTGTCCCAGGTAGAAGACTTCGGGCATCCGGAAGGTGCACTTGTCCTTCCTTAACTTGACACCGTTGCTCCTCAGAACTGCCTTGAGGCCCTTTCCACCATCATCTCTCTTTTCTGCCACCGGGACATCATCCAAATACGCCTGCACGCCTGGAATACCCTTCAGCATAGTCTCCATAGTACGCTGAAAAATAGCGGGCGCGGAAGACACCCCAAACGGCAGACGGTTGTAACAAAACAATCCTCGATGGGTATTGATGACCGTCAGTTTCTTAGCCTCTTCGTCAAGGGTAATCTGATTGTAAGCGTCGCGAAGATCCAGCCTGCCGTACACATCTCCCTCGTTGAGAGCGGCGAAGAGGTCATCAATCACAGGTAGCGGATATTGCTCTGTAACGCATGCCGCGTTCGCGGTTAGCTTGTAATCGCCGCAAATTTTAAATGATCCGTCCTTCTTCGTAACTGGCATGATCGGGGTTGCCCACTCTGAGTGTGCCACCAAAGACAAAACACCGTTCTTCACTAGCCTGTCGAGCTCGTCAGAAACCTTATCCCTCATTGCATACGAAAGAGGTCTAGCCCTGAAGAACTTTGGAACCGACCCCTCCTTGACATAAAGGTGTGCGGGTGGAATCTCGAACAGTCCTAGCGTTGGCTCAAATGCCTCTTCGTACTCGGTCAAGATTTTATCCAGATCCTCCTCCCTTTAGATTGGCTTTTCGAGTTGGACACACTGAGAACAGGAGTTCCCAAGTTGTTTAGTGGTTGAATCAGGTCTCAACCACACAAACATGGTCCTGGCTGGCGAAGTACAGTCGTCGATGCTGTGACAGTCTTGTCGGCATACGAAACAGGATGCGTGAGCTTACCTGCAATTGGCAGTGGCCCCAAGTAGCAAGACAACTTCAGGGTTGACTTCTCCAGTCTTGGCCAACTCTCCCTGTGCTGGTTGTAAGCGTCCCAGGATATCACGCACACAGGTGATCCAGTGTCGGTCTCCATGATAATGTCGACTCCGGCCCAACAGAACTTGCGCCAAACTGGACCGACGATCTTGTTCTCCCCAATCAGATTTTGCTTCAGGGACAGCAGGTGCGAGGAGAATGATGCGTCGCCGTCCTCAGCGAAGTTTTCAATTAGTGCGAACGTCCTTTGTTCTCGCTTGCCCTTAAAGCGACACATTAGTGCGAGGTGTCCCTTCTTTCCACACTAGAAACACTTTGCATTCTTGAAAGTGCAGGCCATCTCGGAGTGTTCCTTGCTGCCGCACCGTTCGCACGCTAGCGATGGTCCACATTCTTCCTTGCTGTACTGGCGTGACGGTCCCGGTTGTTGCCTACCCACCAGTTTGTGCAGTTCCGGCTCTGATTTCATGTCTGAAGGCTTCATGAGCTTGACACTTTGTCTCGCCGCCTCCGCCGCCAGCACGATGTTCTCAGTTTCCTGCAATGTCAGCTTGGGCCTGGAAAGTAGTGCCTTCTGAACGTCGATATTTCGAATTCCGCACACTACCTTGTCTCGTAGTATGTGGTCTAACATGTCGCCGAAGTTGCATTTATCGGCCAGCTGCCGAAGTTCCACGATGAGTTCCTGAGCCGACTCTTCCCCTTTCTGAACCCTCGTGAAAAAATTTGAAGCTCTCAGCTATCTCGTTCGGTCTCGGTGCATAAAATTCTTTGAGAATTTCAATCGCTTGAGTGTAGGTTAGTTCTTTAACCTTCCTTGGTGCGCAACGCCCACTCAAGACGTCGATTGCTCTTGAGCCCAGTGCCGAAACGAGAAGCGCTCTCTTCTTTACGTCGTCCACGATGCCATTTCCCTCGAAGTAGGACTCAATGCGGATAATATACAAAGTCCACTTATCGTTCATCTCGTCAAACTGTGGTACTTGGTACGTCATCACCGCAGGCTTGGAGTTGTGTCCGTTGACTTCAGAGGCTGGTTCGGTACTCGTCGCCATTGCTAGACATTAATAGAGACGTTACTAGTGCTCTTTAATCTATGTACAAGTATTTACACGAGATGTGCTCTTGGTAAAGACCAGGCATCGGCAGCTAGTTGGGGTAGGCCATCAGTTCCATGATTGCTCGCGCGTTGTTCTCGAGGCTGTCTGTGAGTTGCCGTCGTCGTTGTTTTCCCAGATGATGTCTGCGATGCAGCACTTCACTTTAGTATGCATGTATTCCCAGTACATCGGTACTGCACTGACAAAATTTTCACAATCACTGATTTGCCTGGAAATTGGTTTATCATATTGATAGGCATGGCTGAACTAGTAATCAGATAATAGATTCAAAAGTAACTTTTAGAGTGCAGCTCTTAGGGGCCCGTTTCCAGCCTGAGCGGCGTCGGCGTAACCGGGGGGCGGAAGGGGGTCACGTGACCCCCCTGCCCCCCCCCCCCCCCCCTCCCGAGGTCACCTGACCCCTCCCAGGTCACGTGACCCCGCCCCCGAGGTCACGTGACCCCCCCCCCCCCCCCCGCCCCGAGGTCACATGACCCCCCCCCCCTGAGGTCACGTGGCCCCCCAAGGTCACGTGACCTCCGGGGGGGTCACGTCACCTGCGGGTAGTCACGTGACCCCGCCGGGGTCACGTGACTACCCGCAGGTGACGTGACCCCCTTAGTACCCTTCCCTACTCCCCCTCAAGAGCTGTGCTCCAATTCGGCGTTACAGGGATTTGTAAACGGCTTTTTTTTTTCTCACAGTTATTTAATTTTTAAGTTTGGTCTCCTCCGTTTTTTTAGAGCGCAGCTCTTAGGGGCCCGTTTCCAGCCTGAGCGGCGTCGGCGTAACCGGGGGGGGGGGGGGGGGGGGGGGGTCACGTGACCCCCCCCCCTTTCGAGGTCACGTGACCCCCCTCTGAAGTCACGTGACCCCCCCCCCCCCCCCCCCCCCCCCGAGGTCACGTGACCCCCCTCCCCCGAGATCACGTGACCCCCCTCAGTACCCTTCCCTATTCCTCCTCACGAGCTGCGCTCCAATTTGGCGTTGCAGGGATTTGTAAACGGCTTCCATCTTTTTTTAAAGGGAAAGGTTTTACTACACCTCGTTTCAGCGTAAGTCCAGACGCAACGGCGCTACTAGTCGGACCAATCAAGCAGCATCAAAAGTGCAAGTCACCAGGCCTCTTCTGTATATGATTAGTTCAGCGATGACAGGGCATGTGCAGAAATATGACGAACACCATGATGGTGCACTTTTGACGCTGCGTGATTGGTCACACAATTTCGTAGCATCGCCTGCGTCTCGACCTTAGGTGAAACGAAGTGTAGCAACAACGAACACACGGACAACAGACGTAATCTGGGGACTGCAACTTGCTTCCAACGGGTTGCAAGAAGTTTGATAAGGATGTGAAATGAGCGCCGGCCATTTCATAGGTTCCTTACTTGCATCCTTTAGTCTGCAAATTTGCAATTTGTGATGTTTACAAAAGACACTTGCGTTCTTTAGGCCTGCAAGTTTGCAATATGCGACGTCACCCCACTGAAAAGTGCTAGGAAGGTTTGAATGTTGGCATCACCTTCGTTTGCTGTTCTCTCAATAGCCATATTGAATGTCAAGATAGTAAATAGCACGTTAAAAAGAACAACATGCTATTTAGGGTAGACATTTAGAAAATGTAGTTAGTTTGGGTGCCTCGAAACACCACCAAAGTTCCCCTTTGAAGTTTTTCAATCTTTATAATTGTTCACTTTTCGTTTCCCAGAAACAAGATCTCCAGAAAATCACAGTTCCTCAAACATTCCTGTGGAAGTTGTAAAGGAGACGAGGGAAACCACGACGGCCATGGATGTGACAAGGCTCGAAGAAGAGCCCAAGCCACACAAGGTGAAGAAAGCCAAGAAGCGTATGAGGTTGTGACATCCAGTTCAAACTTCATGAGGGGTAATTTTCTAAGAGTAGCAAAGAGTGTACAGTTAGTTCACCTTAAGCTATCGAAGGCAGGAATCCCGCTAACTTGTGTTCCAAATGAATTGATATATAGTTTCGATTTAAACCTAAGCTGCCTAAAAATTGACATTTGTTGTTTCGCTTGTAAAGGGGCATGCGCCAAGCGGCGAGAGTAGGACACTGCAGGCTCCACTTACTCGCGGAGCACTGTGACACTCCGTGGTGCAGTTGTTGCATCGGTGTAAAGATTAACTTGATGCATGGAGCTGCTTGGCATTATGCCCTTATAAGCATGTGACCATGAAATTATGCTAAAAGCTAGGAAGTTTCTGATGAAGTCTCTCCTACAGCCAACAGTAGAAGCAAAGCACTTTTAGCTCACTAGAGGTGATGCTTCAGTGTAGTACAAGATACACTGAAGATGTCATAATTTTCTGACATCGCAACTTTCATTTGGGGACAAAATCAATATAGAATATTTTGCATCTCTTTGAGATGATTTTGTGATAAAATGTTTTCTTATTTTGTTTAAAACTTTTTTAAAGTCTCTGCAATGGATTAGAATTGTGCGGGAATGTGAAGACGGCACGGTACGAATCTATTTGGCTGGAGTGGCTCTTTGTGACTGCTGTTCGGTGGCCACAGGCAAAAGGATGCCTTGCTTTTTTTTTTTAAATCAAAATTGACATTGAAATGTGAAGTTGTTTTGTTCTTTTATGTTCTTCAGGTTGATTTTGTAATGAAATGTTTTTGTATCAAAATTTGTTTGACGTTTTGGCAATGATTTAGAAGCATTCAACAGTGTGATGGAGGCATGGCAGACATCTTTTCTGCTGGAGTGGCTCCTTATGGACGGTGGTTCGGGGGCCACAATCAGGAGGATGTTTTTTTTTTTTTTTGTTTTTCACATTGAATATGACAGTTATTACTGGTAATTCTTTAGGTAATATAGTAGTTTCTATGTTTCTGTTCTGAAGCATGCTTTGAAAATTCCAATTTATTTGAAGGGATGGTGCAGTTTTTTTTAAAGGCAGAACAAATTGGGGGTACAAACTTTATGATAAACCTTGGACAGCTCTCTGAAAATGTTCACGCATGTTCTACCCGTCGTGGGGAATGTTGGGAGGTGGTCATTGGAAGAACAAACTATGGTACAAAAATGCCTAAACATACCTTCCCAAAAATACCTAACCTACTTGAAGATAAAGGATTGGAATTACCAGTTCTGACGAAGGGTATTTGCCTGAAATTAGAGCGGGAATTATACGAAGCCTATCGAAGCACTTACTATCAAGTTCACAACTGCTTTTCCCTTTTATACAGGAACTGACGTCAACATTTCAAAGCTATCTTGAAAACAAAAAACTAGGAAGTGCCCTCCCCTTCCGACTTCATTTTTCGGAGTTAGTGGTTACAGCACAGCTTATGGCTGCGTTGAGATGGTGGGGTTCCCACCAGAAAAACAAAGCAAAGGCATTTGTGCACTCAGAACGCTTTTATTCTTCGTTCTGGTGGTTGCACCTGGTTGGAGATCTTGCGCTACCTCTGGTGCCATGAGCCACCTCGACCTGCGACAGGGAAGAGAACATGACGATTCACTTTGAAAATGGGCAGGGATGCAGTGGGAGTGTGAACTTGATAGTAAGTGCTTCCATAGGCTTTGTATAATTCCCGCTCTGACTTTAGGTGAGTACCCTTCATCAGAACTGGTAGTTATAATTCAGCCTCTGTTGCACTTACTATCAAGTTCACAACTGCTTGTTCAAACTTTGGCTTGTGTTCTCAGTACCTGGGTTCCAAATTGTGCCCGGGTAGCTGATTGCCGTCGGTAAAGCGGTTAAATGTCGCCTCTGAGGACCAATCAGCTACTGCTAAAATGTCAGCAAGTGGTATTTTGAGCTCCACGGCTTTGGAGTTGGCCACTCCTCACGTTGAGTGCCCTTTGATAGTCGACGTGTCAATGGCCGTAAGCGTTAGTGTGTGTTTGATCCAGTGAGCTACTGTGTCCTGCGCTACTGGACAGAATGGCTTCTTCATAATGAGCAGAAGCTGCGTGTGGGCGCCTCAGAGTCCTGCAGTCCGTTCGAGGTATACCTGCAAGCATTCCACTGGACACAATTCCCAAACCCCTTCGAATGTCGGGAAGGAGTGGGTGGAAGGGGGGTATAGATGCCCCAGAAGTCTTTCTGAGCCCGCTGAGTGTAAGCTCCCAAACGGTCGATTGCTTCCGCATGTAGCATGTCGAAAGCAGGCACATGTCTGACGTGCTGCTTGCTGAGACAAGGGCTAACAGCCTAGCTAGCTTGCTAGAGGTTATTTTAAGGCTAAAGTCCTTTTGGGACCCCACAACTGCAGGAGTGCTGTCACCGTTTCTGCCTTCCAAGTTGTGGGGTATCGCAGCTTATGGGGTTTAGAATTCAACATTCCCTTCATGAGACGCACCACTGCTGGGTGTTCCCCTAGAGGGCAACCGTCAAAGTTCTGCAAGATCTGAGATAAGGCAGGGCGGAAACATCCTATAGTGTGATATGCCAGACCCTCCTTAAAGAGGCCAGAGAGGGAGTTGAGTGCCTGTGCTAGAGTGGGAAAAAAGGGATCAACAGTCCAGCAAGAAGTGTAGGTGAGCTATGTTCCCCACCTCCATGATGCCTCGATGAGGTGTGCAGCCTGCTTTTAAAGTTGGCTATGTGTTTGCTGGAGTTGTTCAGTCTCCATGCTTGTAGTGTCAGGCTCCCCATGCTGAGCATTGGATGTACCTGCCCGTCGTGGCTGCAGAGTAGGTGGTGTGAATGGGGAAGAAGACATGGTTCCTCGTACGAGTGGTGGAGCAGCGATGCGTACCATGGCTAAAATGGCCCGACTGGAGTTACTAGAATGAGCAGACTGTTGGAGGTCTGCAATTTGGCAATGCATCTGTTTGCAAGGCTGAACGGTGGGAAGGCATAGAGGCCCTGACCCATCCAGCCCAGGCTGAGAGCATCTACTGCTACCACCTGAAGGTCCAACTGCCAGCTCTAGTGCCTCACCTGGTGGTTGGAGAAGTCTGCAAAAAAGTCCGTGTGCACGGGGCCCCATGGACTGTTGACCCTGCTGAAAATGAGTGTGCACAGTTTGTTTGTTTGTTTCTTTATTTAACTCCAAAGAGTTGGGTCACTGTGATCAGGCATTACGCCCATACCGAAATCTCCTGGATGCTTGGTCTGCACCCGTGTTTGTGCGCCCCGGATTGTGTAGTGCCCTGAATGATATTCGCCTCGCCCAGCACCACGACCATATCTCGTGGGCTGTCCTGGCGAGTTCTGGAGAGCAGGGTCTGCCCCTCCTGTTGATCGCAGCTACTGCTGCTGTTTGGTCTAGCTCGAGGAGAATAGAGCCCTGAGGCACTTTCTTTGTCAGTGCCTGAATGCCAGGAAGGCTGCCATCAGCTCCAGGGCATTGATGAGCCAAGTAAATTGGAGTGGGTCCAGTGATGTTCAATCGTCCACCCCTTTGAGCATGCTCCCCTTCAACAAGCTGTCCGACTGTATTGTCTGCACTAATGGGGGTGTCTTGATCTGGCCGTTTGAGGTCTTCCTCGGTGCTAGGATCCATCATGCTACTGTATTTACTCGCAGAATGAACGCACTTTTTTTCCCGAAAAATCGATGCAAAGTTAGGGGGGGCGTTCATTACGCGAAGTAAAATTTTTGTGTCCGTATTTACTCGCATAAGGAAGGAACCTTTTATCCTGAAAAATTGAAGGAACTTCTTATCTCTTTGCGCGCGGCGCCCGCCCGACCCCGTAACCATACTGTGCAAAAAAAAAAAAAAGTGTTTTCTTTTATTTTTAGTTCCTTTTTTTGCCGCCTTTCGCAAGCTGTTTTGTTTGCTCTCCGCTTATCTTTCTTATCTCCTTGCGCGACCCCCCCCCCCCTCCCCCGGTAACCAAACTGCGCTGTGCAAAAAAAGAAAAAAAAAAAAGCTCCTCTTTTTCTTTTTTTTTCTCAGTTCCCTGGGTTGTTTCTTTTTTTTTTTCCTTTTTGCCGCCTTTCGCAAGCTGTTTCGTTTGCTTAGAGGGTCCGTAACCAAACTGCGCTGTGCAAAAGAAAAAAAAACTGTTTTTGTTTTTTCTTAGTCCTGTGTTTTTTGTTTTTTTTCTTTTTGCCACCTTTCGCAAGCTGTTTTGTTCACTTAGAGCGCTTCTCTTTCTTACCTCCTTGCGCGTGGCGGCGCGCGAACCCAAAGTCCAGACCTGCGCTGTACAAAAAAAGAAAAAAAACTTTTTTCGCGATGGGCACATAGAAACCCATCGCCTCATGCCATACGCGATGATCGGTTTTAGGCCGCACCTGTCCACGCAGGACGTGATGCTACAGCTTTCTAAGGAAATCGTAGACCCGGGAAACGGCCACGGTACGCGGGCCATCCTGGGGTTGGATTTGAAGAAGGCATTTGATAACGTCTCGCATGAGGCGATACTCTGCAACCTCTTGGAACTAAACGTAGGGCGCCATACATACGACTACATGAGGGATTTTTTGTCTAACAGGACTGCGCAACTCACCATAGGGGATCTGAAGTCGGCACACATACCACTGGGAAATAGGAATACACCACAGGGGTCGGTGTTATCCCCTTTTCTATTCAATACCGCGCTGATCACGCTCCCTAGGAAGCTTAACGGCATAGAGCGTACTAGACACACCCTATATGCTGATGACATCACAATTTGGACGAGTCAGGGATCAGACGGGCAAATCGAGACTGCTCCACAAGAGGCGGCGGACATCGTAGACGCCCACGCCCGTTGGGCAGGACTGGAATGCTCCCCACAAAAGCCGGGACTGCTAGTTATCCGTAATAACGGAAGGGCCTGCAAAACGAAGCCGAACAGGATACAGTTGAACCTGTTTATAACGAACTCCATCGGACACGCATTTTAGTTCGATATATCAAGTAGTTTGTTATAGCAAATATCGCTATTTCGTGAGGACAGCAAAAGCGAGAGAGATGAAAGGAAACCGTGCGGAATAGCGGCGAAGGCTGCCGAGCGTAGCGAGCCTCACGCCGGCGCTCAGAGCCGTGTTATCGCGAGGCAGCTTTCATGATGGAACATATGTATTCATATTTCTATCAATAAATTTCAATATTGAAACATATCATCTAAGAAAGCCCGAAAATTTCTAGGTAACAGACAATAAATGAACACGATAATTCCGTAAAATTGAGAAGGAAAAAAAAGTTGTGGCACTTACGACAGAGAGAAGAGCTTGCCGCCATGGCACTTCTCGCCTTGTCGTGCCAAGGTCCGACTGGGTAGGAGCTGCCAAAACAGTGCGGTTTCGTCGGTATTATAAATATCGCAGGTCCTGTACTGCTCCGTAATTGCTGGCCAGTTTTCGGCGATCCACTTCTTAACGCTTTCATTGTCGACTGCTCGACTCTCGCCAGCGACAACTTTGCCGACAATGTCGTAACGTTCCTTGAACCGTTGAAGCCATCCGGATCCGCCTCTAAAATCTTGAACGTCGAGCAAAAAGGCAAAGTCTTTTGCTTTCTGCTGTAACATGGGGCCCGAAACTGGAAGGTTTCGAGCTTGAATATCCAAAAACCACGCGTACAGCGCCTTTTCCACTCTGTCAAAGGCAGGCGCCCAAATGCGCTTTCCGTCGGCGTTCGGTCGATCTCGGGCCTTTTGCAGGATCGCTGGCTTGTTTTTCAGTATCGTACCCAGCGTGCTTCTGGCGATCTTGAAGGATGCGGCGACTTCTGTCTTCTTCTCGCCGCGTTCAACGCGCCGGATTATTTCCACCTTGGTAGAGAACGGTAACGATGAACGCACCTTGGTCGCCATCTCTTGCGGGAACAGGAAGGACACAAAGAACAACGAGCCTCCTCGGCAAAACGCTAGGAACAAGAGAGCCATGTCCGGCCTGGTACGGCTGCAGGATGATGTCATCAGAACGTCATTGCACGCTTGCTCTATCATTGGCCAGCGCGCTTCCGCGAAGGCCGGTTGCGGGCGTTCGCAGTCGGTGTTGTGACTCATCTTCTCAAGGGTCATCGTGTTTGTGGCCACGCGCCACTATGACATCTCTAGAAAAAGAAGAGAAGGTCGAAGCGCGAGGCCCACACCACCCGGCTGATGAAGGCAGGACAGTTGTGGCGAAGGTGGCGCGAGGGAGGTGCGCATGGTGTTTAGGGGGAATCCATGTCGTGGGCTATGAACGATGGAGTCCCAAAGTTGCAAGCTGAAGAAGCGATGCTATAAATGCCACGAAACCTGCTTGATGGGTCGACCAGGAAGATGTGGTACGCTGTTGGCGAGTGTGGGGCCAGCGCAATCCATAAACGCAGGTTTTATGCGGTCGGTCCCTACAAAGTTCTGATGCGGACTTCCAAAACATTCACGCTGGACATTAACGGTCGCGAAGAAGTTGTAGCGGCCGACCGCATAAAACCTGCGTTTATGGATTGCGCTGGCCCCACACTCGCCAACAACGTACCACATCTTCCTGGTCGACCCATCAAGCAGGTTTCGTGGCATTTATAGCATCGCTTCTTCAGCTCGCAACTTTGGGACTTCATCGTTCATAGCCCACGACATGGATTCCCCTTAAACATCATGCGCACCTCCCTCGCGCCACCTTCGCCACAACTGTCCTGCCTTCATCAGAATACAAGCCTATTAGCCTTGATTCCTGGGGGGGAATCCTGTGGCCACGCGCCACTATGACATCTCTAGAAAAAGAAGAGAAGGTCGAAGCGCGAGGGGATTAGAATAAAAAGCCCAGCTGGATTTCGGACATCAACCTGGTCGGTCGTCTCTATAGTGTTTTTCTTGGTTTTCTCTTGTCCTGTGTCGCTCCGTGCATGGCAGGGAAGCCAGCGCGCTTTCGCGGGGGTCGGTTGCGGGCGTTCGCAGTCGGTTTTGTGACTCATCTTCTCAAGGGCCATCGTGTTTTTCTTGGTTTTCTCTTGTCCTCTGTCACTCTGTGCATTGCAGGGAAGCCCGCACGTCTCCACGGGGGCGGTAGCGGGCGCTCGCAGTTCGATATATCCGATGTGTGGTTCGTTATAGAAAGTATATTTCTCATGAATATTGATCTTAAAATTTCGTGTGTTCGATATAGACCATAATTCGTTCTAACCGGGTTCGTTATAAACGGGTTCGACTGTACAGTTGAAAATTCAGGGAAACGAAATCTTGGAAGTAGACACAATGCGAGTGCTTGGGATGTACATACAATCCAACAGATGCAACAAGGTAACGCTGGACAGGTTGACGACATCGGTCCAGCAAACTATACGGCTCATTAAGCGCGTGGCGACTAGGCGACAGGGCATGAAAGAGCGCGATGCATGTCGGCTTGTTCAGGCTTTTGTAATCAGTCGGATCGTGTACGCCACTCCTTATCTAGACCTCAAGAAGGCCGAGAGTGAAAAGCTGAATTGTTTGATAAGGCAGGCGTACAAGGCGGCTCTTGGTCTCCCCAGGAACGCGTCCACCGTGAGACTTCTATCTCGTGGTTCACAACACTCTTGAAGAGCTCATTGAGGCACATCTCACATCGCAAGAGCAGCGGCTCAGGCAGACTGAGACGGGGCTCTGCATCCTGAGAAGCTTAGGCATGAGGAGTGGAGATCCTTCAAGCCAGATGACTTTACCGGTAGAGATGCGCGAAATCATTCGTGTCAAACCTCTCCCCAAGAACAGGCAAGCGGGTCGTCACGAAGGCCGGAGGAGGGCCAGGGCGAAGACATTAAGCAAAAAGTATCAAGGGGACGATAGTGCCGTGTACGTTGATGCGGCAGAATACAACCTTACTACAGGCCAACATGCTTTCGCTGTGAGTGCGGTGAGCATCTCGCGCAGGGTAGTGGCCACAGTGATCACGGGCCGAGTGGAAGAGGCCGAAGAGGCCGCAATAGCACTAGGGATTGTTCAAAAGAGCACTAACACCATTCTAAGTGATTCCAAAACGGCCCTTCGCAATTTCTCGAGGGGACGTATCTCCACCACTGCATACAAAATTCTTAGCACGATGCCAAACGATAGGAAGGAAGTGGGTCTGGTATGGGTCCCGGCCCACGTGGGCGTCCCGGGGAACGAGTCCGCTCACCATTATGCTCGAGGTTTTGTCAGCCGAGCAGGTGATGGGGACTTGGACGTCGGGGCCCCACGAGGTGAGGCGCTGGATACGTATCAGGCTATAACCAACTATTACAGGGAGCTTAGGGTGAGCCTGCCTCCTCCGCACGTTTCGCTCAGCCGAGAACAGGCTACCACGTGGCGGCGGCTGCAAACGCGGTCGCAGCCAAACCCGTGGACATACGCCAATATCTTTTCCGATCTAGTAATCCCGTACTGTCAACTATGCGGCGAGCCTGCCACCTTAGACCACATAATCTGGGACTGCGCGAAGGATCCGCCTCCGGCAGATCTAGTTTCATCTCCCTCACTTGAGCAATGGGAAGCTGTGCTGGCCAGCCGGGACCTGGACGTCCAGTCCCGGGCCTTGGCAAGAGCGCAAGAGGTCGCCGACAGACTTCAACTGCCGACCATGTGGAGCAGCTGAAGGAACCCAAGAAGGTCACCATCTTACTGACACATAAAGTTTTTTCTCTCTCTCTCTCTCTCTGTTTTTGTTTTTTCTTAGTCCTGTGTTTTTTCGTTGTTGTTTTTTTGCCACCTTTCGCGAGCTGTTTTGTTCACTTAGAGCGCTTCTCTTTCTTACCTCCTTGCGCGCGGCGGCACGCGAACCCAAAGTCCAGACCTGCGCTGTAAAAAAAAAAAAAAAAAAAAAAAAAAAAAAAAAAAAAAAGCTTTTCTTTATGTTTTTTTTTTCTTGCTTCCGTTGAATCTTGGCGAATTTTTTTTAACGCCTTTTGCAAGGCGTTTTGTTCGCCCAGCTGCCCATGCGTTCGCGACCTCGCTGCACCAGGATAGAAAAGTGCGTTCATTTCACGCGCGTGGGGTGAGGGGGTCAAAATTTTGACTTCCGAGTTGGGGGTGCGTTTATTACGCGAGTGGAAAAAAAAGTCGAAATTTGGAGAGCCGACTTGGGGGGTGCGTTCATTACGCGAGTGCGTTCATTGTGCGAGTAAATACGGTAAGTCCTGCTGCATGACCCTGGAATGTAAGAGTGGTCTTGTGGATGCCTCTCTGTAGGGCTAGCTTGTCTCAAATGTGTTTGAAGGTTCCTGATATTAAAGGAACCCTCCGGCCACACCATTAGGCATGTGTTCAGTAGTCCCGCCAAGCTTGCAACCTGGCAGGCCATGATCCCCAGTTGCTCTAGCCTCTGCTGTAGGTGGTCCAGCGGGTTGGCGAGTTTCTCTCCTGGGAGCTCAAGCGTCAATCGTCTCAAGTCTGTTGATAGTCCCAGAAACAATAACTCCTGGGCTGGCGTTAGTACTGACTTCTCCGAGTTTACTGCAAAACCCAGGTTTTGTAGGAGGTTCACGATTAGACGTCCCTGGTTTGCCAGTAGGAAGGGGGATTTGTCCACGACAAGGATATCGTCCAAGAACATGACGATGCGAAGTCCCCTGGAATGGAGATAGGCCGCCACTGGTTTCAGTAGTTTTGTGAAAACTCTCGGTGTTGATCTGAGGCCACATGGCACCTTGTTCCAACGATAGACATTTCTCCCGAAAGTCAAGCCACAGGCGGTCTCGATGGCAGATTGGGACCGACAGGTATGCGTCCTTCAGGTCGATACGTATCTTGGAGTCGCCCTGGTGGATAAGATCCCTCGCCCAGTGCCACCCCTCCATCTTGAAGTGGTTGTGTTCCACCGACTCGTTTAGTTGCCTAAGATCTAGGATTGGGAGTACCTTGTCGTCCTTCTTTGGTGCTACAAAGAAGGGGGAGAGGAACTTCACTTTAGAGGGCGGTACCCGAGAAACTGCTCCTTTTTTTTTTACTAGCTCGGATACGGCCTCCCGGACCTGATTGATTTGACTGCCCTCAGGTCAGCACGCTGTGCGACCCTCGAATCGCCGGTACCTCTGTAAACTCCAGCTTGTACCCCTGTATGGTCTGAAGGACCCAGGCATCGTGGGTGAGTAACCTCCATGCTTCGCGGCAATATGCCAGTTGGCCCGAGGGCGGTAGTGCTGAGATGTACGGGTTTATACTTGCCTTGATGTCCTTGGTTGAGGTAGGCTCCCCTCGTGTAGTCCCAGGGAGGGGGCCTCTTGTGAAAGGGCTGCTGGCCCGCACTCTGGCTCTGGGCGCTGGCCCCCACTCTGGCTCTGGGCGCTGGCCCCCGGGGCAGCCGAGCTGCGGGGCCTCTTAGCTGCCGGCTCCGCGGCGGGAGGGGCTGGTTGGCGGGCTTCCTGGCGGACCTCGAAGGTCTCGTTTTTTGTTTGGAGCTGCCCCAGAAAGCCCTCCCCGAACAGCAAGGGGGATCCCTCATCCCCTCCGTCATGGGCCACCATCTGGCAGAGGGCTGGGGCGACTCGTGCAATCACCCCCTCCCGGCGCTCGCGAGTGAGCGATTCAAAAAGCCACCCCAGATGGGCGGTAGCTGCCCCCAAGTGGTCCTTCACCATCCTCCTGTCGATGACTTCCTCCGAGAGGCCTATCTCCAAAAGGCCTACTAGTGGCCCCATAGCTGAAGCCACTGCGTCTCGGCCCTCCTTGAGCGCCTGGTCCCGCGCCTTGACACTTGCGGGCCCTTTCGAGCCTCCCTCTAGGCGGTGGCTCTTCTCCTTTGCCAGAACCTTCATTTCCGGATTAAACTCCGGCACCGTGACGAAGGGGAGCTGCAATCATGGGAAGCTCGTCAGGGCTGCCCTGCACCGCTCAGAGTGCCCCTCGGAGCCCAAGTGCTCCTGGAGGAAGACCAGGACGGCAGGGTCCCCCTTTCGGGGTTGGCCCTCCGTCGGTCTCCCCAGCCAGGAGCGGGGCTCCTCAGCGGGCCCTAAAGGTTCCGGGTCTGGCATGGCACTCTGTTTGCTGTTTTCTAATTCAACCTCCTCCGTGGCCAAGGGAGGGAGGCGGCTGTTGAGCGTTGCTACCAAAGTAGCGATGCCCGCCACCGTTCTCTGGACCATACAGTTTCCCAAAAACTTGGAGATGACTCCTGGGACCCAACGTTCTCCAGTTCCAAAGTTCCTTTCGAATACAAGATTCCTTTCCGTGAGGCTACTAGTTCTTTCCA